GGGCACCGCTGCCGGGCTGGGGGTGGCTGGGAGGGCATGCCCCTGGGCGGGGGACTGAGGCCCCTGGGCAGGGGACTGAGGCTCCCGGGCCGCCCAAGAGGCCCCTGAGTCGCCGCTGCTCTGTGTCCTTCCGCAGCCGAGTGAGCAGGTCTCCAGTCCGGGCTGTGCGATGAACACACACTACTGAGGGCGCTTCCTGGGGCGCTGCCCCCCCACCCGTGCCCCCGGGAGGCCCGTGCACTGGGCTGCGCCAGGGGCCGGAGCCCACCCCAGTGTCCACCCTGCTGCTGCTCTCGGCCTCGGAGAGGAGGAACCCCAGGGCCGAGGGGCTGCCCCACCCGGGCCTTGTCTGTCGGTTCTTTTGTGAATGTTGCACAGTTTGTTCCCCCCCCCCTTTTTGTAGTGGGCTGGGTTTTAAATTATAAATTTTAACTGCCTCTCGGTGAAAAAGTTTTTAATAAACACCTTATTACCTCTTCGCTGGACGGGTCCAATGACTGATCTTTTTAATTGTGCAGGAATTTTCTCTCTGTAAACAGAAATGATTGTTAGCTGGTCCCTTGCCTTTGCCCCCTGGGGCCCAGTTGCAGGCCAGGCTGGTACCCCAGAGAATCCGGTTTTTAGGCCGTTTGAGTCAGAGCAAACTCTGCCTGTTCGTATCTGAGCACTGCGCCTTCTGTCCTTGGAAATGAATGGCAAGAGTTAACCGTCCTGAGTGAGCATGGCTGCATCCCAGGGTTGGGGGCAGATAGAGTCCCCTTTGACCAGCCTTTGCTTGCTGTCAGAAGGGGGAAGACACAGTATCGCAGACCTGGTGGCTTCTTACGGACTCCAGGGAATGACCATAGGGTGCTGCTGAGGTCGGAGGCAGTTCCCAGAGATGAAAGGTCTTACCCCCAGATGAGGGGCTGGATCAGACCACTGTTACAGTCCTTATAAGCCAGGGGGTTGAGTCTACTTGATTCTACTTCATTTGCCTGTCTTTGTTGAGCACCTATTATATGCCAGGCGCTCGGGGTCAGAGGTGGCCCAGATAACGTGGTCCCTGCCCCCTGGGGCTCACACTACTAAGGGCAGGAAGTCTGAGGATGTAGGCAAGCCCGGGGGATGTGGGGCCTGTGAGAGATGCACCTGGGAAGGTGACATTAAGCTGGGGCAGGAACATGACCAGGAATGGCCTGGGTGCATCGTTCTACCCAGAGGACAGAGGGACGGGCAGCACCTGAACTGGCCGGCTTGCTGTGGGATTGCGTCAAGAGTTGAGGGTGAGTGGTTGGCAGGAAGTGTGCCAAAAACGAGACCACCAAGTGGCCAGACTGGGACCCCCTGGAGCCTGGCAGAGGGCAAGGGCACTGCTATGTGCCACGGGAGACCACATGGCCTGTTGGAAGGACATGGGTTAGCGCACGGGGCAGAGGAGGAGCCACGGCCCAGGTCCGTGGATGGATACGTCATGGGAGCCCCCTACATGCCCTCCTGCCAAGCATGTGCAGCTCAAGAGCCTGGATTGTGTGACTTGGACCACTCCGGCTCCCCTGATCTCCTTAGAAGGGGGGGGGGGGTGGCATTTACTGAGATGGGAGTCCCAAAAGCCACAAGGAATAGGGGAGAATAGTTTCCCCAAAGGGAAGAGGAACACAGACTGCTATCCCAGGAGCAGTGGAGAAGGGATGCTGGGTAGATAAAAAGACAAAGCTACAGACAGGAGGGGAGTGCTGTGTACCCTGCAAGACAGTCTGGACTTGAGCCTGAGGCTCTGGAAGCGTCTGCAGGGCTTTGAGCATGGAAATTCTATTACGAAATTCATTCTTTCAAAGACCACTGGGGTTTAAATCCCAGCAAGTTCCACTCATGTGACCTCAGGCAAATTGCCTACCTGTGTCCCAGTTTTTTCTGGGGAACAGGATAAGAGATAAGAGGAACCCCTCATGATCTGTCGTGAAGTTCACGGGAGTCCACGAGGTTCACAGGTTCACGATGGGGGTGACCCTCTGTCAGGGTCAGGGAGAACATGTTAGAATGCACAAGACCTTTATTTTCATCGTAAAAGAAATTAGGTCTTGTTTATACCTTGGGTTGGCACCCGGTCCTCAGTCTGTAGATCAGAGGGTTATGCACCAAAAGTGGGTGCCAAGGAGGGAGTGAACATCACACCCTGGAGAGCTGGACAGCTACACACACACACACACAAACACACACACACACACACACACAGGTCAGGAGGATTTGTGTGGTTTTCTGACTGCTGGTTTAGAGGGACTTAGTGCCTATACTGTCCAGTTAGCTAAATGATCTTACATAAATGGACAAGTGACATGAAGTTTCCTGCCAAGAAACCATGAATTGAAGATCGTGGAAATAACGCAGCGCCTAGAGAGCAGAAGAAAATGGCAAAACCGAGCACTCCCACAGCGCAGGGGAGCCTCCTGGCTGCAGCAATGAACTAGCTCATCAGACCGAACGGGAGTCAATAACAACCACACACACACACTTGAAAATATCAAGACTCTGAAAACGGATTTACATCCGCGCTTGTGAAGGATGAGCATTGCCTTAAGTACTTTGTGCTACGAGGTATTAGCTAATGGTGGTGGTTCGCCCGTTTCAGTTCTAGGAAAACATTCTCCTATTTAGAGATCAACAATTTTTATGGATAGGCGTGCACAAATGGGAGAGTCTGGCGCTGTCTAGAAAGTGGTTGATTGGAAGCTGAGCTGGCACGGAGAGAGGTTGGAGGTCCCTGCAGCTCCCATGCAGGGGGAGGTGACCATAGTGGCAAAATGGAGATACTGAGAGGTCGGGTTGACAAGGACCGCTGCCAGGCGGAGAAGGTGATTGAGTGGCAGAGGTCACTGCCAGATTCCGAGGGTCCTGCTGACATAACACGGGCAGCTGGGCACATGGTCTGCACACTTGGATCTGAGGGTCTTCAACATCGACAAGTGAAAGACTTAGTGTTCAACTTAGACTTGGAAGTCACGCAGACCCAGTCCTCAACACTGGCTTCACCTGTGACCGACTGTGTGGCCTTGGGTAGATGACCTCACCCTTGCGCTCTAGTTTACTTGCCTATAAAACAGGCCATAATAACAGGGCCTGCCTCAGAGGGTGGTAAGGATTCAGTGAGAGTCTATAAAATCGCTCGGCACCTTAACACCCAACCCAAGGAGGTGAAAGTTACCGAGGCTGGTGGTAGGGGCCAGGAAAGGAGGAGACTTCCTGAAGGAGGGAGGGAGGAAGGGAGATGGAGCATGGTCAGAGGAGGACTCACAGACTGGAGGAGCAAAGCAGGTGAGGGAGAGAAGGGGAAAGTGGGAGCCAGAGGTGAGAGCTGGGCTTGGAGAGGAGTCCCCTCTCCCCCTTCTGTTTGTCAGGGGGTTCCCTGCAGGCTGCTGGAGGTCACTCAGGAAGGAGGTGAGCTGGGAGACCATAGCTGGCTGGTTCCAAAGCCAGTTCCCAGCATAAACTCCACGGAGCAGAAGAACAGGCAGTAAGGGTCAAGGGAGGTGGGTTTGGTGCCCAATTCCTCAGTTACTGGCCGTGTATCCCTAAGCCACTTATCCTCTGAGCTGTTTCCTCATCTGTAAAATGAGATGAGATGACATCCCTTTCATCCCTTTCGGAGGATTTGGAGAGGATGCTTAGGGAAGGGATGGAAGGCTCTGGGAAGACAGGAGCCACACCCACGCAGCTGAGTGAGCTACGGCCTGGTCTGGATCAATAATGCAGAGAGGAGGGGACCAGGAAGGCAAGAGATTGGAGAGGAGGGTGGAGCTCTCTGCCGCAGAGCACCACGCAGGATACATTGGAATGGGCCAAAGAAAGTCAAGTTTGCTCTGATGCTGGGGCACCTGAGTGGCTCAGTGGGTTGAGCATCTGACTTTGGCTCAGGTCATGATCTCGTGGTTTGTGGGTTTGAGCCCCGCTGTCAGGCTCTGTGCTGAATGCTTGCTCAGAGCCTGGAGGCCTGTTTTGGATTCTGTGTCTCCTTCTCTCTGCCCCTCCCCCGCTCACTCATGCTCTGTCTTACTCTGTCTCTCAAAATTAAATAAATGTAAAAAAATTTTTTAAAAAAGTTTGCAGCTGATGGTAGCCCCTCACAGCTGTTCTCCAGCGGGCCTTGGGAGCCAGACTGTCTGGGTTGGCATCCCTTCTCTGACCGCCACTATGACACTCAGCTGTGTGCCTCAGTCGTATCAGCCATAAGATGGGAATCCTTATGGCACCCACCTCTTAGCATGCTTTCAAGAATTAAATGACTCCAGGGGCGCCTGGGTGGCTCAGTCGGTTAAACGTCTGACTTCGGCTCAGGTCATGATCTCACATTCCTGGGTTCGAGCCCTGTGTCAGGCTGTGTGCTGACAGCTAGCTCAGAGCCCGGAGCCTGCTTCAGATTCTGTGACCCCTCTCTCTCTGACCCTCCCCTGCTCATGCTACCTCTCTCTTCTCTCAGAAATAAATAAAACATTAGAAAATTTAAAAAAAGAATTAAATGACTCCATAAAGTGTTTAGAACAGTGCCTGGTGCATAATAAGCTCTGACGTGTTAGCTATTTACTGATACTATTGAGTCCAAGGGGACTAAGGAAGGAGAGTGGGATCCCTTAGGTTCTTTGAAAGGGGGGCTCACCCCCTCGCTGGGCAAGCAGTGAAAGGGGAGCAGAGCGCGTGGGGCTCCTCAGTTTGGCACGGTGCCAGGCTGGCCTGGCTGGCAGCGCCTCCCAGGTGGCACAATTGCCCTGTCCTCGGCCTTTGCTGCTGAGGCGTCTCCTCTTTCCTGGGCAGCTTCCACTCCTTTGTTGGCCTAAAGGGTCAGGACCCCGCAGCCACCTGCATAATTAATGCTCTTGAGTAAGGCTGGAGCCCCCAGGGGGTAGATTGCGCCAGGAGAGCCAGCCAGAGCAGGGCGGTAGGGGTGCCGCCAAGGGCTGAGGGTGCTGTGGGCTGCCAGACCTTCAGGGAGAGGAGAGGCGGAGAAGCCCCTCTTCGCTGGGCCCACCATGGGTGGGAGCAAGGGCAAAGCGCCCCAGCGCCAGGAGGGCCCCGGGAGGCCGGCCTCGGGGGAGCAGGAGTCGGGGTCGGCCAGCGCAGACGGGGTGCCCAGCCAGGAACGCCGACAGGGTCGTGGTAAGGCCCGTGGGGCCAGACCGGTCTTGGAACCCGCCACTGCAGGAAGCCACAGGACCCAGGCTGGCCGCCGTAAGCCCACCGCAGAGGGGAACAGCGGCTGCAGACCGTCGGGGGCTGGGCCGCCGGCAGACGCCGGGGGGAGACCAGGCAGCGCGCAGCGGCGGGGACGCGGATCTAAGGAGGGGCGCGGGCCCAGGGACCACCGTGGCGGGCGCCTGGAGGAAGCCAGCCTCTCCCGAGAAGGGACAACCAGTGAGGTCTGCCGCCGCCAGAGGAGAAGGAAAGGGCGGGGACCCTCGGCTCGGCAGGGCTGCCGAGAGACCCGGAGCCTCCGTGGGGACACGTCGGGTGGAGACGGGGGCAGCTCTTGCCCGGACAGCGAAGCCCGAGAGGCCCAGGAGAGCGACAGCCAGAGCACGGGGGCCCCGGAGCCGCGACCCAAGACGGAGCAAACGGACACGGTCCCGGGAGACACCCAAACCGGGTCGGAGCCAGAGCTGGAACCCGGCGAACGCCCCAGCAGTGACGGCGGGGGCAGCGCTGAACCCCGGAGCCCGGAAGGGTCGTCGGGGGTGGGACCCCAGGGAGAGAGCCAGGATTCCGGGACAGACACGGAATGGAGTCTGAAGGGGGCCGGGCCTCGAGGGGGTCCACGGACAGCCCCGGGAACGGCGAGCCAGGCCACGGAAGCCGACGAGAAGGGGGCTGGGGGCAAAAAGGCCAAGCCCCCCAGCCCCCTCGAGGGCAGCCCAGAGCGCGTCCCCCAGAGCTCACGGGCTCCTCGGGACCCCAGGCTGGCCCAGGACACAACAGACAACGAGCCGCGGCAGGAGGCTGAGCCGCAGGGCGCCGCTCGAAGAGCCTCGGCCTCCGGGACTCGGCGACGCCAGGTCGGAAAGGTGGTGGGGAAGGTGCAAGGGGCGGCGGGCGAGAGCGAATCTGGAGCTGAAGGGGGAGACGCGCCCCGGACCCCAGCGCCGCTGGCCGCCCTCGTAGCGCTCCGCAGGCTGCGCGCGAAAGCCCCTCCGGATCCCGCCCCCCAGGCCGAGGCTCCCGCTCCCCGCCGCGCGGGCCTTAAGGAGCGGCTGCTGCGCGTGGCGCGCGCCCTGGGTCTCCTGCGGTGGCTGTGGCTGCGGCTGCGGCGGCCGGAGGGCGAGGACTGGGGGGCGGGGTCGCGGGCGGCCGGGGGGCGGGGCCGCAGGCCGGGACCCAGGCGCCGCCTAGTGCTGCGCCTGGCCGGCGTGGCGGGACTCGGGGGACGGCCCAGGCCTCCCCCTGGCGGCGGCTCGAGCTCCCCACAGTTTTCGAAGAGCCCAGCTCTTGAGGACCCCTCTGAGGACGAGGACCGGACTCCGGACCCCAAGTTCGCCGTCGTGTTCCCCAGGATGCACAGGCCCGTGAAGGAGTCGAGCAGTCGGAGCTCAGAGGAAGCGTCCGCCGACGCCCCAGCCGGGGAGGCGCGCGTTTGGCCTCGTACAGAGGCTTGGGGGGACAGTGAGGGGCGCGGGGCGAGTGGAGAAGGTGCGGCCGGGCCCCGCCGGGGCTCTCCCCTCGGCCCTGCTCCCCACGACGAGCCCCCACTCGACGAGAGCGGCTCCAGCAGTGAAGCGGAGCCGGAAACCTTGGAGGCGGAGGCTCCGGTCCACTGGACTCAGAGCTCAGAACCCCGCGAGGACCCCGGGCCTGACACCGACGACGCACTGCTGCCTCGACTCACCTTGGAGACCCACCGGCGGTGGGAGAGAAGCCCGGGCCCCTGCGGGCCTCCGAGGGGGCGATGGGTGCCAGAGGATGAGGCTGAGGAGGCGCTGGAGAGGGACCTGGAGCTGAGCCTGGGGCTCGGCCTGGACGCACCGCCCTCACTGGGTGCGGAAGACAGGGGTCTTGGGGAAGGCCTGGAAGACACGGAGGACCTGGCTCGGCTGCGGTGAGCAGGCGCAATTCCAAATCTGTCCTGTGTGGGTCACCGAGTTCCTCAAATGTCACCCCACCTCCGTTTTCATAAATTGTATCCTTAGACGGTCTTGTAACTTAACAAAAGGTCTCCCCTGGGGAAGATGCAGGTGAGGGATGAAAATCAGATGCCCCTACCCCGAACTTTCTTCTCTGGCACAAGGCTTCCCTCTGGGTCAGCTCCTGCCTGTAGCCCCCATGGAGTGGGTAACTCACTGAGCAGCCAGACTCCTGTGTTACGGTCAGGGCTCAGAGAGGACGCATGCTTTGCCCAAAGTATCTCTACAGCCAGTGGCGGCGCTAACCCAGGACCTCCTTCTGCCCCCTCCCCAATTCCCTGCTCCTCTGCCCCGCTGTCCCCGCAGACCAGTGTGTAACAGCTCTGTGCTGCTGTGCCTGAAGAAGAGGTTTCACCTGGGCCGAATCTACGTATGGGGGCACCTGGGGGTGGGGGCGGCGGGATTGCCTGTGCTCTGAGATCAGAGGGCTCTCTGGCACTTCTAGAACCTCTCCTTCCTTCTCCTCCCTGGGCTGAGTGCTGAACCGTCACTGGGGACCTGCAGGGCGGGGGCGGGGGGCTGGGCTGGGGAGGACTGAAGCCCCACTCCGTTTGTATCCCCTGCTTCCTCCTCACTGTGACGACAGCATCTGCTTTTCTCCCCAGACCTTTGGGGGGCCCTTTCTGCTCTCTCTGAACCCCCGCCGGCCCCTGCCTCTCTTCTCAGCTGAGGTTCTGGCCAGCTACCACCCCAAGAAGGCCCCTAACACCACCCCGTACGTGGCTTTGCCCCCAGCAACCCTCTGCTCACCTGCCCCCCCACCCCCGCCCCGGGCGGGCGGCTAAGCCCCAGCATGTGCCACTGATTGAGATCCTGGTGACTGAGGGCGTGTCCTGGCTACATTAGGAGGGCCCAGAAGCCCATCTCCGGCAACCTTCTCATTTGCTCCCACCCCTCCTCCCTCAGACACATCTTCGCCACCGTGGCGGCAGCCTACAGCCTGTCTCAGAGCACCGGGCAGGGCACATGCATTCTCCTGGGGTGAGTGGTGGGGCCCTGCTGAACCCACGGGCCACTCTGAGGACCCGGAGGCAGGGACGTGGGGGCTGCATTGGAAGCTGCAGGCCTGGTCTGCTGCTGGGCAGCAGCGCTGGATTCATAAGGGCTGTGCTCCTGGCTGAGGTCACCACACGCGCCCCTTGACTGTAGCCTCTTGGCGTCTTCTTTTCTCTTCGGTCTCCATGCCCTGGGTCTATCTTCCCACATTTCCAGGGGTGGGAATCACTTCCAGGTGGGCATGCCCCACTTCCTGGGCTCCATGGGTGTCCTCTGTGCTCCTTCCCACAGTGGGCACAGTGGCTCAGGGAAGACAGAAGCTGCCAAAAAGATGGTGCAGTTCCTGAGCCACCTGGAGCAGGAGCAGACGGGGGACAGAAGATGTCAGGTGAGGGGCAGCTGGCCTTTTCCCCGGGCGGTCTTCAGGCCTCTGGCTCCTCCTTGGGGGCAGCCCCAGGCATTGCCTCCTGTGGGACAGGCCAGGGTGGGGTGGGGCTGACCCTCTCCATGGCCGAGCACAGCCCCTAGGCACGAAGGATCCTCAGCTGGGATGCCTGATCGTGGACGCAGCCACCGCTCCTGGGGATACTTGAGTGCCCCTCCTCCACACAGCTGGACGGTGCGCTGCTCGTGCTCGGCAGCTTCGGCCACGCCGGGACGGTCCTCAATGCAAACGCCAGTCGCTTCGGCCAGGTCTTATGCCTCTGCCTGCAGCAGTGAGTGATGGGGGTCGCGGTGGGCACAGGGGGCACCCCCATTCAGCTCCCTTTACTGGGAACCCGAGCCTGCTGCCCTTGGGTCAAGCCCATAGTGGGTCCCATTCTGAGCAGGGCCCCTGGGTCGCGTGCACCCTGGGCATCCCCACCCACTGTCCCGTGCCCACAGTGGGGTCATCGTGGGAGCTTCTGTATCACATTATCTGCTGGAGGCCTCGAGGGTGGTGTTTCAGGTAAGACCTGTGCCGCTGCTCCCCTCTCTCCAGCTCCCAGAGTGGGAGAGGTGGAGGGGCCATGCAGGGGTGTGGTCACTACCCTTCCCCCCACCCCTTCCCGTCTGCATCCCTGCCTTTCCCAGGACCTGCCCTTGCTCCCCTGGGGCACAGGACCAGACCACTGCTACCCCTAAGCCAGTCCTTCTCCCCAAGGCCCAGGCTGAGCGGGGTTTCCATGTTTTTTACGAGTTGCTGGCTGGGCTGGACCCTGCGCAACGGGAGCAGCTCTCCCTACAGGGGCCGGAGACCTACTACTACCTCAACCAGGTGGGGGCAGGGCTTGCCTGGGGAAAGGTCTGGAAGGAGTGGCCGGAGGGGAGGGAAGCTATGGGCCGCCAGGCCCTGCCCCCTCACTCCCGCTGTGCTGTGCAGGGCCAGGCCTGCAGGCTCCAGGGCAAAGATGATGCCCAGGACTTCCAAGGACTTCTGAAGGCCTTGCAGGTGCTGGTCATGTGCCCCGAGGAGCTGAGCGCAGCCTGGGCCGTGCTGGGTGCCATCCTGCAGCTGGGCAACATCTGCTTCTCCTCCTCAGAGGTGGGCCCCCGCTGTGGCCAGGGGCCGGTGTGGACGCTGGGTCAATGGTGGCTTGTTTGTGGAGTCAGGGCAGCCATGACACGGAACACCTGTGGGCCGCCCTCCAGGCCTCACAGCTGCCCTAGAAAGCAGGCGGGTTCCCGTCGTATAGAGAGAACAGAGACCTGGATCATCTGTGCCGACGCCAGTGCCACCTAGCTGCCACCCAGGAAAGGGAGGCCTGCACTAACTGAGCAGCTCCCGTGCATCCGGCACCACTGAAGTTACTTTATGTGTTTGTTTTCTTTTAATTGTTTTTAAATGTTTACTTATTTTAATATAGTTTATTGTCAAGTTGACTAGCATACAGTGTGCTCTTGGTTTTGGGAGAATGTTTATTTTTGAGAGAGAGAGACAGTGTGAGCAGGGGAGGGGCAGAGAGAGAGAGGGAGACACAGAATCCAAAGCAGGCTCCAGGCTCTGAGCTGCAGTCAGCACAGAACCCAGCACGGGGCTCGAACCCACGAACCGTGAGATCATGACCTGAGCTGAAGTCGGACCCTTAACCGGGTGAGCCACCCAGGCGCCCGTCTGTTTTCTAATTCGGTTCTCACAACAACGCTGGAACTTAGGGTGGTTGTTTCCCTTTTAACAATAAGACAGTGGAGGCTCAGAGACGAAGAGTCTGCTGGAGCCGGCCAGCTAGTGAGGAGGTAAAATGAGGACTCGCTCTCAGGACCCCCAGGCTCCAGAGTCCGCTTCTCTCCGCCCAGTGGATGTGGGATGTGGCCATTCCCCAGCAGAGCTCTCCCCGCTCCCTCCCTTCTCTGTCCAGCGGGAGTCCCAGGAGGTGGCTGCTGTGTCCAGTTGGGCCGAGATCCATACGGCAGCCCGGCTGCTGCTGGTGCCACCTGAGTGCCTGGAGGGGGCTGTCACCAGGAGGGTCACGGTGAGCCCCGGGCTCCTCAGGAGGCAGGGCTGACCTCAACCACACGCAGGCTTGGCGCGGGCCCGGATCAGCCCGGGGCCTGATGTCCCTCCTCTGCCCTCCAGGAGACCCCCTATGGCCGAGTCTGCAGATCCCTGCCGGTGGAGAGCGCCACTGATGCCAGGTGGCCCTGGGGGCGGGGGAGCCATACCGGGCCTGGCACCCTACCCTACGGCACTGGCTCACTCACCACACCCACAGGGACGCCTTGGCCAAGGCCCTGTATTCTCGGCTTTTCACCTGGCTCCTGGGGAAGATCAACGCGCAGCTGGCGCCACCCGGGGAGGGAGAGAGCACACACACCGTCACCATCGTGGACGTCTATGGCTTTGAGGTCACCACTTGGGGCGGGGCCCAAGATAGGGTGCCCCCCTCGTCCTGAGCATTTCTGGGGCCAGCTCTCCCTGAGGGTGGCACCCGTGAGCTATTGCCTATCTAGCCACGAGAGACAGGACATAGTCCATGGGTGTGGCCTTTCTGCCCTGCTCTGTCCAGCCCTGACATCGCTTCTGGAGAGTTCTGTCTTGCTCACAGGAGCCTCTGGGGCAGCAGAAGGCAGAGGTCCTAGGATGGGTCTCACCTCTTATGCACCGAGCGGACCCGGAAAAGGAACAGTCCCCTGAACGGCCCTGAGTTTTCATAAGCAGGGAGGAGGCTGGAGCAAGGGGAGGTGGCCTCTTTCCCTGGACGGGCACCGTTCACTGCCCCCTGCCCTCTCCTCTCCACCGTGCCCTGGGGACCGTGCCCTCTCTGAGCGGGGGACGTTTGTGGCAAGTGTGTGCCAGAGCGTGTCAGCGCTCTCTGTATGAAGCTGCACGGAGCGGGGGCTCTTCTGGGCTTGTGAGTGGAGTGCGGGGGGGTGGGGTGGGGGGGGGGGACACAGGCAGGAGCCTGCAATCCTTACGGGAGGAAGGCTGGAAAGGTTCCTGGAGGCAGCAGCCTGGGGCCCTGCTTGTGAGGATGTGGGATCTGAGAGCCAGGGAGCTACAAGGTCATAGGAAGAGGTGCCTTCCAGACCCCAGGATGGCTTTGTCCAGGGGCCTGGAGGCTCACAGTTGTGCTGAGGCAGAGGGAAGGGTGTGGACTGAGGTGTAGGCACGCGCTGTGCCTGGGCCTTTGGACTTGACCTTGGAGGCAGCAGCATCAGCCCCAGGGCACCACTCCTCCCTGAGTTCTGGGAGGGGAGTGAAGGACACCGGGCCCCTGTGCAGCACCCCACCCCCACCGTACCTGCCCCAGGCGCCCCCCCCCCACCTCATGTGGGTGCCTACCTCACTGCCCACACGCTCCTAGGCCCTGCGGGTGAATGGCCTGGAACAACTGTGCAATAACCTTGCCAGCGAGCGTCTGCAGCTCTTCGCCAGCCAGATGCTGCTGGCCCAGGAGGAGGTAAGAGGAGCTGAGCCTGGCAGAGGGGGGGGCACCCAGGCATTCCCAGAGCAGAGGCCCTCCCTGGGAAACCGAGGCACTGAACTGACAGCCCTGCCCCAAAGCACCCCCTGCTAGGGGCCATCTCAGCCTTTCTGGGCCTCCCTTTACTTATCTGTACAATGGGAGAGCCACCCTGTCTCGGGCTCTGATGAGCTCCCCCTGCAACTGGGGTGCTGGCTGTTCCCAGGAGGCATGTCAGCGAGAATCACTGCCCTGGGTGCCCGTCCCCCAGCCTGTGAGGGAGACCTGCCTGGACCTCCTCACATCCCAGCCCCACGGCCTCCTGAGTATACTGGATGCCCAGACATGGCTGGCCCAGGTGAGCTCCCAGTGGTAAGGACGAGGTGGGGGCCCTGGTGGCCAGGCTGAGGCCATCAGGGCCTCTCAGAGGAGCCAAAAGGTGATGGGGTCCAGAAACCCTGCCCATAGCCTCTCAGCAGAGCTTGGGAAGGCAGTGAAGCAAACTAGGTTCAAATCCTGTCTCCGGGTGATCTTGAGAAAGATCCCTCACCTCTCTGGGGCTCCTCAAGTCCTTGCTGCAAAAAGGGCAGCGTGATGGGGACTGCACAGGGCTCGTAGGGGTCCCTCAAGCCTCCAGCTAGTAGAGGGCAAGCCTCAGGGCTGTGGGACGGCCATTCCACAAAGGGATGCATAGTCCAGGCAAGGGCAACTTCACGTGCAAAGGCCTGAGGGAAGCTCGTCCCTCTTATCAGGCCACAGACCACACCTTCCTCCAGAAGTGCCACTATCACCATGGCAACCACCCCTGCTATGCCAAGCCCCAGCTGCCCCTTCCTGTCTTCACCGTGAGACATTACGCCGGGACCGTCACCTACCAGGTACCCGGGTAAATCGGGGACAGACTCCTGGGTGAATCAGTGGTGTCTGCTCCCCAGACCTGAGTCACCAGACAGGTAATAGGAGTAGGTGAGGGGAAGCCCCTGCGAGGGCTTGGCCGTATGTGTCTACCTGTGTCCTCGGCCCTGTTTTTTTTTTTCTTTTTTAAAAAACTATTTTTTGAAGTTTACTTATTTATTTATTTTGACGGGGAAGGCCAGAGAGAAAGGGAAAGAGAGAATCCCAAGCCTGATGCAGGGTTCGAACTCACGAACTCAGGAACCGGGAGATCACTACCTGCACCAAAACCTAAAGTCCAACAGCTAACTGACTGAGCCTCCCAGGAGCCCCAGTGCTATACAGTTCTGAGCACGATGGGGCACAGGGAGAGGAGGCCTTGGGAACCTTAAGACCAGAAGGGCAGAGCGTACGTGTGGAACCTGGCTCTGATAACCTTAGGCTGGCTGCTGCTGCTTTTTTTTTTTTTTTATGTTTGTTTATTTTCGAGAGACAGAGCATAAGCAGGGGAGGGGCAGAGAGAGGGAGACACGGAACCTGAAGGAGGCTCCAGGTTCTGAGCTGTCGGCACAGAGTCCAACGTGGGGCCTGAACCCACAAACCACGAGATCATAACCTGAGCTGAAGTTGGATGCTTAACCGACTGAGCCACCCAGGCACCTCTCTGCTTCTCCTTCTGAGCCTCCATTTTCTCATCTGTAAAATGGAAGTGGGAATCTGTCCTATAACATTGTTGTGAGGGTTGAATGCAATAATGTGGAAATGGTCAATCAGGTGCCTGGCACTTGCTAGGTGCCCACGAAAGGCACTCTCCCTTCCTCCTCCTGAGTTTCCTGGAGACTGGGTAGGGGCCTGGTGTAAAAGGTAGGACCATGTGACTGGTTTGAGGTAGGGCAAGTCAAGTAAGGCTTCCTGGAGGAGGTGACATGCTTTGGTTATAGAAGAAAACACAAATTATCCAGAAGTTACTCAAACAAACCCATGGGACATATGTCAGTTATACCTCTCCCCCTACCCCCCCCAACCCAATCATGTCTGAAAAAAAAAAAAAGAAACACAAGGAGACTGAATAGAGAAAACCACAAAACTATATTGAAGCTCACAAAAGAAAACCTAAAAAAGGAGGGTCAAACCACATTCCTGGTGGGGAGCCCTACCTTCTTTCTCAGTTAATCTAGAAAAGCAACAGCATTCCAGACAATACCCCAGTCGGGTTCTTCTGGGAGGAGGAGGAACAAGTTTTGACAAAATTACTCTGAAATATTAGCTGGAAAAGAAATGCATGAGAGTAGCCAATAAAATAATGAAAAGCAGAAGATTAAGGAGGAATTTGCTCTACCAGACATTAAAACATAGTCATTGAAAGAGTATGGTGTTGATAAGGAACAGACCCATCAATGGAACAGAATTGTTCCAGGCAAGTGGGAATCTTAGTACCCTCCGCGCACATCCACACACCCACGCACACACACACACACAGACACACACACACACACACACACACACACACACTCCTTTTGTGTCTAACTTACTGCATTAAGTAGGATATTTTCCCAAGGTTCATCCATGTTGTCGCATGTGTCTGATTTCCTTCCTTTCCACGGCTGAATAATAATCCGTTGTATGGATGGATCATGTTTCGAGTATCCATTCATCAGCTGATGGATACTTGAGTTTCCACTTTTTTGGCTTCTGTGAACAATGCTGCGAACATGGCTATGCAAGTCTCTATTCAAGTCTCTGCTTCCAATTCTTCTGGCGTATGTAGCTAAGAGGGGAAGAGCTGGGTCAGGGGGTAATTCTAGGTTTACTCTTTTTTTTTTTTTTGTAGCTTTATGGTTTTATTAACACAAATATGTGCACATAAACTGTCTATTCATTTTCTTCGCTGCGCAGCCTGGCATTGGGATTCGTGACTCTGATGGCCAGCTGGGCTGCTCTTTCCACAATGGCTTTCCGGTTCTTGGAGGAGACATTGTGAGCAATCTCTGCACAGTAAGATTTGTTGCACATCAGCAGCACTTCAAGCTCCTTGACGTTGTGGACTAGGAACTTCCGGAAGCCACTGGGCAGCACGTGCTTTGTTTTTTTGTTGCTCCCGTAACCAATGTTGGGCATCAAGATCTGGCCCTTGAATCTTCTGCGCACCCTATTATCAATGCCTCTGGGTTTCTGCCAGTTGCGCTTAATTTTGACATATCGGTCTGACTGGTGCCGGATGAACTTCTTGGTCCTCTTTTTAATGATCTTGGGCTTCACCAGAGGTCTGAGGGCGGCCATGATGCTGAGTAACAGATGGCTGCCACCTCCGCAGGCAGCGCCGAGGAAAAGAGCCTAGGTTTACTCTTTTCAAGGAGCCGCCAAACTGTCTTCTTCAATGGCTGCACCATTCCATATTCCCACCAGCAGCGGGCAAGGGCTTCAATCTCTGTCCTTGCCAGTACTTGTTATTTCCCATTTTTTATTTTTTAAAGTTTGTTTCGAAAGAGAGCATGAGCTTGAGCTGGGGAGGGGCAGAGAGAGAGGGAGAGAGAGGATCCCAAGCAGGCTCTGCGCTGTCAGCACAGAGCCAGACACAGGGCTTGAACTCACCCACTGTGAGATCGTGACCTGAGCTGAACTCAAGAGTCAGATGCTTAACCCATCGAGCTACCCAGGGACCCCTTATTTTCCATTTTTTAAAATGATACTCCTCCTAGTGGGTGTGAAATGGTACCTTGCTGTGGTTTTGATGCATGTTTCCCTAATGGCTCGTGATGTTGAGAATCTTTTCATGTGCTTCTTGGCCAGTTGTGTGTCTCATCTGGAGAAATATCTATTCAAGTTCTTTGCCCATTTTCTAATCAAGCTGTTGTTATTGTTGGGTTGTGGGAGTTCTTTATATAACCTGGCTATTAATTGTTTATCTGCTATGTGATATTTTCTCCTACTCTGTGGGTTATCCTTTTGTTCTGTTCTCTTTTGAGGGGCACTTGGCTGGTTTAGTCTGTTGAGCAACTATTTCCACTCAGGTCATGACCCCAGGGCTGTGAGATCGAGCCCTGTGGCGGGAGCCAAGCATGGAGTCTGCTCAAGGGTCTCTCTCTCCCCACCTCTGCCCTTTCTCCGTGCCTTGCACGCGCATATATGCGCTCTGTCTCAAATAAAAATAAATAAAATAAAAAATGCCTTGAGGCACACAAGTTTTAGGTTTTTTAAATTAATTAATTAACTCATTTAAAGTCATCTCTAGGGGCGCCTGGGTGGTTTAGTCGGTTAAGCGTCCGACTTTCGCTTAGGTCGTGATCTCGCGGTTCGTGGGTTCGAGCCCCGCGTCGGGCTCTGTGCTGACTGCCAGCTCAGAGCCTGGAGCCTGTTTCAGTCTGTGACTCCCTCTCTCTCTGACCCTCCCCTGCTCATGCTGTCTCTCTCTCCTAGAAATAAATAAATAAATAAAATAAATAAATAAAACATTTAAAAAAATAAATAAAAAAATAAAGTCATCTCTATACCCAACGTGGGGCTCGAACTCCCAGCCCCAAGATTAAGAGTTGTATGCTCCACCGACTTAGCCAGCCGGGTGCCCCATGAAAGTTTTAATTTTGATTAAACCCAGTGCATCTATTTTTTCCCTTTTTTTGCCTGTGCTTTTGGTGTCCTATTCAGGAAATCATTGCCAAGTCCAATGTCCGGAAGCTTCTCCCTGTGTTTTCTTCTAAGAATTTTAGAGTTCTAGGTCTTAAATTTAGATTTTTTTAAAGTTTATTGATTTTGAGAGAGAGCAGGGGAAGGGGCAGAGAGAGAAGGAGAGAGAGAATCCCAAGCAGGCTCCTCGATGTCAGCGCAGGGCCCAACGAGGGGCTCGAACTCACAGATTGTGAGATCGTGACCTGAGCTGAAGTTGGGAGTCTGGCCCTTAACCGACTGAGCTACCCAGGCTCCCCCTTAAGTCCCCCTTAGATCTTTGATCCATCCATTCATTAATTTTTACATCTGGTGCGAGATAAGAGTCCAGGTTCATTCATTTGCATGGGGTTTCCAGTTTCCCAGAGGCTCTAGTTGAGACAAAGGAGTCCCTTTACCTCAGTGGGAGAGGCTCGATTATGTGACAAAGGGACCGGCCTCCACCCCAGCCTTCTCTCCTCGGCCGCTCCGCTCCACACATCGTCTCTTGCAGGTTCACAAGTTTGTGGACAGAAACCGGGAGGATCTTGACCCCGCCGTGGTGGAAATGCTTGGCCAGAGCCAGCTCCAGGTGTCCCTGCCAGCCTTCTCTGGGCCCCCACCCCTCCACCCTGTGTGGCCCTCATTCTGCCCTGGACACTCTTGCCCAAGGGGCAGGCCCTGGCACCTTGGATCGTGGGCTGAGCCCTCCAGGGACTGGATGCTGCTGACTACACCCCCCCAGCTCCCCGGGGACAGGGGTGCGGGACCCCCAGCTCTGCAGGGACAGGGGAGCAGGCAGGGCTGTGGACGGGCCTGGGGGACAAGCCAGCTCAGCCTCGTCTCCCCTGCAGCTTGTGGGCAGCCTGTTCCAGGAAGCAGAGTCCCGGTGCAGTGAGCGAGGCAAACCCACGCTGGCATCGCGCTTCCAGCATTCCCTGGGGGACCTCCTAGCCCAGCTGGGCAGGTGAGAACAGTGCCCTCCATGGGAGACCCCAGGGAGGTGAATGGAGAGGGGCTGGCCTGCGCCTGAATGACCCCCTTTCCTCCCATCAGGAGCCATGTCTATTTCATCCAGTGCCTCAACCCCAACCCGGGAAAGGTGAGCTCCCCTTCTCCCCACGCCTGGCCCCAGAGCCTTCCCATCCACCTGCCCCACCCGTCTCGGTGGCCCCCAGGAGTCCCCACCACCGCCCGCAGCCTTAAGCCCCTTGCCTCCAGCTTTCATCGGCTCTGTCCCATGGCCACAGCTTCCGGGTATCTTTGACGGAGAACACGTGGCAGAGCAGCTGCTCCAGGCAGGCATCCTGGAGGCGGTGTGTACCCGCAGGGCCAACTTTCCTGTGCGCGTGCCCTTCCAGGCCTTCCTGGCCAGGTAGGGCCCGAGGATGGGGGCAGCCAAGGGCCTGGGGAGCTCAGGGCCAGGACCCACAGGGGCGGCTGGCAGACCCGGGGTTCCTGGGTTCATTCAGGGTGGAGGTGGACCCACTTTCCTAGAGACCTTAGTCTTGGCCACTAACCTCCTCTTCCCCCATCCCTCTCTCCTTCCCCATTCATTATCCCCCTTCCCTCCAAGTCTCCGTCTGCCCCTCCTCCATACAGCAAAACTCTGCTGGGTGCCTGGCACATAGTAGGTGCTTTCCAAATCGTCGTTGAATGACTTAGGGACTGAATAGACTGATGGGCTGGGAGGGAAGGAGGTTCTGACCTCAGCTCTCCATCCGAGGGGCAGGTTCCAGGCCCTGGGGACAGAGGGGCAGGGAGAGCCCTCTGACCGGGAGAGGTGTGGCACCATCCTGAGCCAGGTGCTGGGGGCTGAGTCGCCCCTCTGTCACCTCGGAGCCACCCAGGTGGGTGTACGTGTGCAGAGAGGCAGGCGTGGCTGGAAAACGAGAGGCGTGTTCCGGGACCAAGTCAGGATTTGGTGGTCTTTCTGGGTGGTGAGGAGACGGGGTGTGGGCGTGGGTGGCACGTGTCCTGGGCCCCCCACAAGGCTGTCCTGCTGGAAGGGAGGAGGACCAGGCCCCAGGAGAAGAGCAGGGTGAGCCCCGGCTCCCCTGCGCCCTCCCCTTCGCCCCCAGGTCCTGCTGCGGGAGTTGGGCTGGCGGCAGCTGGAGCAGCATTGGGCCCAGCGACGCTCCCAGGCCCTGCTCGCCCTGCACCGCAGCCTGCGCGCCTGCATCTCCCGCCAACGCCTCGGCCGCCTCCTCCTGCCTCGGATGCAGGCGCGTGTGCGAGGGCTCCAGGCAAGGTCTGCAGGGGTGGGATGAGCCGGGACTTCTCAGGTGGGGAGACAGGGTGCGGGAGGGGTGGGGCCTCAAGGCAAGTCTGTATGCCCCAATGTTGTCCCCACCCATACCCTGCAACCTCTGCTTGAATACCCCTAGTCACAAGAAGCTCACTACCTACTGAGGCTACCCGAAACTGCAGTCTTGACTCCTTGAGTGTTTTCTAGTCTGTTCTTCACTCTGTAGCAAAAAAAATCCTCTTTTAAAAGCATGAATCGGGGCGCCTGGGTGGCTCAGTTGGGTGAGCATCTGGCTTCGGCTCAGGTCATGATCTCACCGTTCGTGGGTTTGGGCTCCACGTTGGGCTCTGTGCTGACAGCTCAGAGCCTGGAGCCTGTTTTTGGATTCTGTGTCTCCCTCTCTCTCTGACCCTCCCCTGCTCACGCTGTCTCTCTCTCTCTCTCTCTCTCTCAAAATAAATAAATAAATAAAAGCATGAATCGGGGTGCCTGGAGGGCTCAGTCGGTTAAGCTTCTGACTTCGGCTCAGGTCGTGATTTCACTGTTCATGGGCTCAAGCCCCGCATCGGGCTCTGTGTGGACAGCTCAGAGCCTGGAGCCTGCTTCAGATTCTGTCTCTCTCTCTGTCCCTCCCCCATTTGCACTCTGTCTCTGTCAAAAATAAACATTAGTGGGGATGAGCACTGGGTGTTATATGGAAACCAACTTGACAATAAACTATTTAAAAATATTAAAAATTTTTAAAAAATAAAATAAAAGCATGAACTAGGCTGTGTGAGGCCCTGCCTACCTCTCCAGCCTCTAAGTCAGATTTTATACTCTAGGCTCTTTGGACTTCTTGATCTTCTAACACTCCCTTCCCCTTCTCACATAATTAACTCCCATTTGCTTTCACAGCCTGTTTTTGTTCACTCACCCAACAGCTGTTTGTTGACCTCCATTACCCGAGGCCAGGCACGGTGACCCAGGGGTCAAGGCGGAGATGGTGCCTCCCAGGATCACTGGGGAGTCAGGTGCAGACAGTAAACCAGCCACCAGCCACCCCAAAGGTGGTGTTAAAGTGCTGAAATAAAGTAAGGACAGTGCCGTGGACACCAGGGACGTCTTCCGGGGGCGGGGGGGGGGGGCACCCATCACCACCATCACCACCATCACCACCATCACCACCATCCATCCCAAGATGTTCTTGTCACCAATAGAAACTCTGCATCTCTTATGCAATTATTCCTCGCTCGCCTTTCCCCCAGCCTCCCATAACCTCCAGTCCACTTTCCGTCTCTACGAATTTGCCTGTTCTAGATATTACATGTAAGTTGATTCGTACAATATTTCCTTTTACGCCTGGCTCACTGCACTCAGTGTTATGTTTGCAAGGTTCAACCATGTTGTACAACGTATCAGAACTTCATATCTTGTTTTAAAATTTGTTTATGTTGAGAGAGAGAGAACACGTGAGCAGGGGAGGAGCAGAGAGAAGGAGAGAGAGAATCCCAAGCATGCTCCCGCTTATCCGTGTGGAGCCTGATGTGGGGCTCAAACCCACCAATAGTGAGATCACAACCTGAGCCAAAATCAAAGAGTGGGACGCTAAACCGACTGAGCCACAGAACTTCATTTCTTTTTTTTATGGCCGAATAATGTTCTACTGTGTGCACAGACCACACCTTGTGTATCCACTCCTCCATCAGTCATCATTTGGACTGTTTGCACTTTTTGGCGACTATAAGGCTGCTAGGAACATGAGTGTGCAAGTATCTGTTCAAGTCTCTGCTTTCAATTCTTTGGGAATTGAAAGGGGTGGAATTGCCAGGTCACGCGGAAATTCTATGTTTTGTGTTTTGAGGAGCGTTTTTCCACAGCGGCTGCCCTGTTTCCTGCTCCACCAGCATGAGCCAGGGTTCCGGTTTCTCTACGGCTTTGCTAATACTTATTTTCCACTATTTATTTATAAAGCTTATTTATTTTTGAGAGAGAAAAAGAGAGCACGAGCTGGGGAGGGGAAGAGAGAGGGAGACACAGAATCCGAAGCAGGCTCCAGGCTCTGAGCTGTCAGCACAGAGCCCGATGCGGGGCTTGAACCTGCAGACCATGAGTCATGACCGGAGCCAAAGTTGGACGCTCAACCAACTGAGCCACCCAGACGCCCCTATTTTCCACTTTTTATTTATTTTTTTAAAATTTTTTTGTTAAAAATTTTTTTTAATGTTTTACTTATTTCTGAGAGAGGGAGAGAGACAGCATGAGTAGGGGAGTGTCAGAGAGAGAAGGAGACACAGAATCTGAAACAGGCTCCAGGCTCTGAGTTGGCAGCACAGAGCCCGATGCAGGGCTCGAACTCACAAACCGTGAGATCATGACCTGAGCCGAAGCTGGACGCTCAACTGACTGAGCCCCCCAGGCGCCCCTATTTTCCACTTTTTAAATTAGAACCATCCTAGTGGGCATGAAACAGTATCTCATCGTGGTTTTGATTTGAGTTTCCCTAATGATGAACGAGGTTGAACATCTTGTGTATCTTCTTGGAGAGATGTCTAGTCAAGTCTTCTGTCTGCCTTTTGATTGTAAAGTTGGTCTTGCTGAGTTGTAGGAGTTTTTTATAAATCATGGAAATTAAACCCATATCAAATCCGTGATTTGCAAACATTTCCCCCAGTCTGTTTTGCCTTTTCACTTTCTTGATTGTGTTCTTTGAGGCACAAAAGCTGTACATTTATTTTTTTTTTATTTTTTAAACATTTATTTTTGAGAGAGAGAGAGAGAGAGAGAGAGAGAGAGTGTGTGTGTGTGTGTGTGTGTGTGTGTGTGTGTGTGTGTGAGCAGGGGAGTGGCAGAGAGAGAGGGAGACACAGATTCTTCCGAAGCAGACTCCAGGCTCTGAGCTGTAAGCACAGAGCCCAGTGTGGGGCTTGAACTCACCAACCACAAGCCGAAGTCAGATGCTCAACTGAGCCACCCAGGTGCCCCTCAGATTTCATCTCTAAGTAATTTCCACACCCATTGTGGGGCTCGAACTCACAACTGAGATCAAGAGTCACACCCTCCACTGACTGAGCCAGCCAGGTGCCTATTTTTTTTTTTCTTTTGAATATTTATTACTGAGAAACAGAGACAGAGCACAAGCAGGGGAGGGGCAAAGAGAGGGGGAGACACAGAATCCAAAGCAGGCTCCAGGCTCTGCACTGTCAGCACAGAGCCCAATGCGGGGCTCAAACCCACGAACCGCGAGATCATGCCCTGAGCTGAAGTCAGATGCTTAACCAACTGAGCCACCCAGGTGTCCCCCTCCTTTTTTTTTTTTTAAAGTAAATTCTACCTCCAACATGGGGCTTGAACTCATGACCCCAAGATGCTCTACCAGACTGAAGGAGCCAGGCACTTCAAAACTGTACATTTTAAAATTTTTTAATGTTAATCCTGCTCGTGACCCTTTTACTGAGGAGTCTGGTCTTTCTTATACCTGGGAAATTCTCAAAGACACGATCTCTTCTCGATGTCTTATCAGATTTCCAGTGGTAGTTTTTTTCTTTTTTCTTTTTTTAGAAGTTCTTAAATAAAAAGATGTCAGACTCTTCTCAACATGTCGGTTGATTCAGTTAATCTTGCGGTGGGGCAGGTATTACACTAATCCTCATTTTGCAGATGGTAGAGATAAAACAGGGAAAGTAGCTTCCGCACGACCACGCAGACTGAACAGGAGAGAAGCGAGCCCAGGGGTCGGCTCTGCTGTCTAAGACCTTAATCTCCTTCACTGAACACCTGCTCAGTGCACCTCTTCTTTTAAAGTGTCCTTTCCTTTCCCTGCTGCTTCTGTTAAGCACCTTGCAGGGGAGTATCGCTGGCCTGGGGGTCAATGTTCACACTCATGTTTGGCTGGGGGATTCAGGTACCAGATCTAGGTTTGGGCACCTCCCCACGCCCTCCTCCCCACCCCCCGGCCTCTAGGAAGCTGTACCTCCGGCGGCGGGCGGCTCTGGGACAGCTGAACACCATCTTGCTGGTGACCCGTCCCCTGCTCTGGAGGCGGCAGAGACGGCAGGTGAAGTTTTTGGGTGCGGCAGCTCAAGGTAGAAGTTAGGCAGCCTTGCTGGTCTGGCTCTTCCCATGTCACGCTGGCTGCGTGTAGGCTGGTGCCTCCCGGAAGTCGCTTCCTTCATCCCCGCCCATCCTCCAGAGTCTGACGCTCCCCTGCCTACCTGGGGTGCCTTCCTATCCCCTCCAGGCCTTTCTTGGGGCCTGTCAGCTCCCCTCTTTTGCCCGATGACTGCAATGTGAGGGCCATAAAGCAGCTCAAAGGTCAGTGCCCACATACTGCTCCCCTGGGGCCCCTCCCTGGATGGACTTTGTCCTCTGGGACCATTTCTTCCTGCCCTCTCCCCAGTGCCCTGGCAGACGGGCAGGGACGCCCATAGCACTAAGGCTGGTGAGGGACCCGGAGGGCTGGCGGCTGGAGGGGGCGGCTGAACTGCCAGGGCGGGGAGGAGCTGCCGGGAGGTTCGAGGAGACCCCTCTCCGGGGCACCAGCATCTCCTGCGTCTCCCCAGGCAGCTCGGGCATTGGCGTGGCTGGCACAGCTGGAGGACCTTCGAGAAGGTGCCAAGCATGGTAGGTGGACTGGGGGCTTGAGGGTGTCTGCTGGGTTATGAACCCATGGAACCTGGCATGGCTCAAGGGAGAGTGTGGGCTTCCAGGTGAGCCACCATGGCTCCTGGGTCTCGGGGGCAACCTACGTGCCCTCCAGAAGAGGCCTGGGCTGCCCTGTCTTCCCTCTGTGGGTTCTCGGGGTCCTGTTTGTGTCCAGGATCAGAATCCTCGGTGTTGGGAGAAGTTTATAGTCCTGGGGGTGAGGAGGGACGAGGGGTCCCTGTAGCCCCTCCCTCAGTACCTCGTAATTGCTCCTCTCTGCCAGGAGCTGGGGCGCTTGGAGATCCCGGCTGAGTTGGCCGTCATGCTAAAGACGGCAGAAGGTGAGTTTTGACCAGTGTCACTCTTGCGATGACCCCCCTCCCCACCTAGTCCCTCTGCGGTGTGGGGGGGTCTGTCCCGGCAGTCCCTCCCTAGGATGCGCTGGGCTCCCCTGAGCTCCCTCTGCCCCGGGGCTGGGGGCTGATGGTGAGTGGGGAAGGGTGGTGCCACAGCCCCAGTGCCTTACCCGGCATTTCTGGGCCACCTCCCCGTGCTGTCCCCAGTCCGTCATCATGTCTTGGCTGATACCATCACGGAGTCAATGCCCCCAGAAGTGCTGGTCCGGCCTAAGCTGACCCTCCCCGCTGACATTGACCAGTTTCCGTTCTCCAGCTTCATCTCCGTTAGCTTTCAGGTGGGTCCCCGGGCCTCAGCTCTTCCCGGCTGACCCCCACGGCTCCCCAGATATTAGCCTTGCCAGGCAGGGGCTGTGTCTGTTCTTCCTCCCCCCCCCACCCCCCCGCAACACGCCCATCCTCTCTCATCATGGGAGCGAGGGGTGCAGCTGCGCTCTTTGGAGAACATCCGTCGAACCTAAACGCCTCACCCTCTAGTGTCACTTAGACCCGTGATGCCACGCCTTTGTTACACCTGTGGCATCGCCCCCCGCCCCGTTGAGGTCCTCTCGTTAAAGCGTGTGTAACGACAAGGCTGGGCTGCAGTGTTGGATACGAAACAGAATTCAAAACTGCGCGTAGAGTATGATCTCAATTTTGTTGACGATGACAACAGGTGTGAGCGGGTGATGTGCGGTATCTACGCGTAGAAAGTAAGACCAGAAACTGTGGTCAGGACTGGCAGTGAAATGTCAACGGTGTTTTAAAAATTCTTTATCCTTTTCCATGTTTTCTGAGTTCTCTGCATGCATGGGTGTCCCTTTTCTAATCAGAAAGAACAATTAAGTTGCATTTTGCAGGCGGTTTTCCTCACCCGCCCCCTGCCCTTACCCCTGCCCGCAAGAGCACGAGCTCCCTCGGGCTCTGCCGGGGGGGGGAGGGGGTGTGTGTGTCTCCAGGTCAGCGCAGACCAGCACCTGCTCAGGCTCCGTCACCATCCTTGATCGCAGGAGCCATCCCTGCCCCATCCTGGGCAGCCGCTGGCCAAGCCCCTGACCCGGCTGGACGGGGAGAACCCTCAGCATGCCCTGGATATCAACAAGGTGGTGAGTGGCACATCGGGGAGGGGGTGGGCTGGGCTGGGCCCCGCATGTCCTGCCTTCACCCCACTGTGTGTCTACAGCTGCTGCGGCTCCTGGGGGACGGGTCCCTGCCCTCCTGGCAGGAGCAGACCATGGGCGAATACCTGGTGCGACAGGGGCAGCGCCGGCCAGGGCTGCGGGACGAGATCTTCAGCCAGCTGGTGGCCCAGATCTGGCACAACTCAGACGAGCAGCAGAGCCAGCGCAGCTGGGCGCTCATGGCCATCCTGCTCAGCGCCTTTCCCCCAATGCCCGCTCTGCAGAAGCCGCTGCTCAAGTAAGGGGCCTGCCGCGTGGGGGCCCAACGAGCAGGGTCAGTGGGCTGCCCTCCCTCCCCACGGCAGCTGTGTGCTGTCCCCACAGGTTTGTGTCCGACCAGGCCCCCACAGGCATGGCAGCGCTGTGTCAGCACAAGCTCCTGGGGGCCCTGGAGCAGACGCGGCTGGCCCCCGGGATGGCACGTGCCCACCCGCCCACCCAGCTTGAGTGGACGGCCGGACGGAGGCGGGGCCGCATGGCCCTGGACGTCTTTACCTTCAATGGTGATGCTCACCTTCTGCTCTCCAGTGGCCCCTCCTGTGACCCTGCTCTCGCTCCTGTGACCCTGCTCTCGCTCCTGTGACCCTGAGCTCCCTCCTGTGACCCTGAGCTCCCTCCTGTCCTGCTCCCTGAAGCCTCGTGGGGACGGCTGCCCCTTCCTGTCAGGGAGGACCTGCTGCCACTCACTCCAGCTCCCTCCCCCTCGCCCCTGTAGAGGAGTGCTACTCAGCCGAGGTGGAGTCCTGGACCACCGGGGAGCAATTCGCCGGCTGGATTCTGCAGAGCAGGTACTGGGGCCCGGGGTGGGGAGTGTGGCCAACGCGGACCACTGTCCCATCCTCCTCCTGTGTCCACGTGCCCCCTACAAACCCAGGGCCAAAGCCTGCTCCCCCGAGGGGGGTGAGGGGGGGCATGGAGGGGCAAGTGGGCAGAGGCGAGACAGTAGATTCAAGATAGGGAGCAAGAGCAGAGATATCTCTGGTCCCGATTCTAACGAAATAGGCCAATAAATAAATGAGCACGTCAGAGCCGACGTAGAAGGCTGTGGGGTGCAAATGAAGGAGAGCCGTCTGAGGAGACCAGGTCCTCAGCCAGGCTCTGCCAGCCACCTCCGCTTGGCCCGCACTCAGGTCCTTGTCCCTCCGGGTGGTCATCTTCCTGCCTGACCACTGCCCGTGTCCTTCCCAGAGGCCTGGAGGTGCCCCCCCGTGGCTGGTCCGTGTCACTGCACTCCGGGGATTCCTGGCAGGATTTGGCTGGCTGTGACTTCGTGTTGGACCTCATTGGCCAGACTGAGGACCTGGGAGACCCCGTCAGTCCACGCAGCTACCCCATTACCCCCCATGGCTTGTAGGTGCCCTCCCAGCACCCCTGTCCCCAGCCTGTTCCGGTCTCTGATCTGTCATAGGTGACCCCCAAAGCTACCCTATTGCACCCTGGGGTTCACAGGACCTGTTACAGGGCCAGCCCCCCCTCTAACCCGACCTTTTCCCACCCTACGGGATGCCCCACCCACAGCAGCTTCTATCCCCCGCCTCAGCCGGGGCACCACCCCCATCCGAGGCACCCCCTGTCTCCTGCAGACCTGAGGACATCCCCCCCGCCCCTGGCATCCAGGCCCCCTCACTGCCCCCAGAACCGCCTCCACCCCCATCACTGCCCAGCAGGAGCCACACAGGTAAGGCTAGAACGGACACAGTGAGGTTGGCAGTGTGACGGGAATGGGGGCGCAGGAAGCCCCATGCCCCAGGGTGACACTAACCCACCTCTGACCCCACAGCCGAGTCTCAGGCCTCAGGGACCCTGGACGGCTTCCTGGACCACCTCTTCGAGCCGGTCCTCTCCCGGGGCCACAGCGTGAGTGTTCTGCGCACACACCCGCCCCCCACCTGCCTCGGCCCCCCTCTCACAGGGCTCCAGTTCTGACTCCACTGCCTGTGGCCTTTGTCCCTTCAGGATCTGGAGCAAGGCTGGGCTCTGAGCAGCCGCATGAAGGGGGGAGGCGCCATTGGGCCCATGCAACAAGGCAGCTACCCCATGGGTGAGTGCAGGGCTGAGCACCTATCCGGGGTCTCCCCAGTCCAGCAGCGCGGGCAAGCATGGCCTGGGGAGCCCAGGAAGCACCCATGGCCCATCCTCTTCTTGTTGCCTGAGGTTGGAGGGAGGTGGTCGTTGGGCCTAGATAGGAATCGACCTGGGAAGGCCCTGTGCCCTCAGTTTACCCAGGGGTGATGCAGATGCCCGGATACCAGCCAGCCATGATGCCTGCAGCAATGCCCATGATGCCAGCGGTGGGCGCAGTCCCTGCCATGCCAGGTAAGGCTGAATTGCAGGTCCCTTCTCAGGTAGGAACCAGAGGAAGGGAGGTCCTACAAGGGGCCAGGAGGGTACGGTGGGCGGAGGGCTGCGTGCAAGCTTGGCACTCGTATGTCACTTGCAGCCATGGTGGTGCCGCAGCAGCCGCAGCCACAGCCTCAGCCACAGCCCCTGCTCCCCAGTGTGGACCCAAGGCAGCTGGCGGTCCAGCAGCAGAACTTCATCAACCAGCAGGCGCTGATCCTGGTGAGGGTGGGCAGGGCCCTGAGACTGCCTAGTGGGGACAGGTCTGTGGGGCAGAGCCAGCCCGGCTCTTACCGGGCCCGCCGCCCCCTCCCTCTTCAGGCCCAGCAGATGACCGCCCAGGCCATGACCCTGTCGCTGGAGCAGCAGACGCATCAGCGCCAGCGCCAGGCTGAGCCCCGAACCCCTAGAGCTGCTGCCCCGGCCTCACCCCCAGCCGTCGCCCCCAAGCCCAAGAAGCCCCTGGTCCCACGGGAGGAGCCGGAGCAGGAGCTGGAATCAGTGGGTGCCTGCCTGAGGGCGAGGAGCCGAGGCCATGCAGGTGGCGCGGCCTGGGGTGGAGAGAGCGGGCTCTGGGGCTGAGGGGCCGAGAGACCCCACTGGAGCAGGAAGAGGAAGAAAAGATGCCCGGGGCCTTGGCCCCAAGGACGGGGCTGGGGGGGCACGGGTGCTGGGAGAGTGGCCACTTGGCCGGACACGCTCCTCCTTCACTTCCCCTTCCCGCCCACAGGAGATCTCACAGGAGCCCCAGGACAAGCCCCGGAGGCCCAAGAGCTTCCAGCAAAAACAGGAGTATTTCCAGAAATTGGGTGAGGGTGCTCGAGGTGGCAGGCCTGTGCAGAGACCTGCCCACCGCAGCCTGTCCCGGGCACGTGAGACGCACTCTCCTCCCCTGCGTCAGTGTAGCCTGTCCCAGAGCCCAATGGGCAGGCCAGGTGGAGAGTAACAGGGCCGTCTGGGCACTTCCAGGGCAGCAGCAGATCAAGGTGAAGACAGTGAAGCCTCCAGCCAAGATACAGGTCCCCCGGGAGGAGGAGGAGGAGGAGGAGCAGGACGAGGAGGAACCCAGAGCAGGTGGGGGTGGGGCGGGGGGTGGGCAGGGCACGCCCTGTGGGTGTGCACAGGGTCTCACGCGGTTCTTCTCCTCCTGGTCAGTGCCATCCCCTCCCCCTCCCCCTATGGTGAAGAAGCCACTGACACAAGGGGGAGCCAAAGCTGCACAAGAGGCTGAGGCTGAGCTGGCCCAGGAGGTGGGGCCCGGGGGTGATGGGGAGCCAGCTCAGGACAGAGACCTGGTCCGCAGCTCGGACCCTCCGCCCCGGCGTCGGGCAGAGCCTAGCAAGGAGATCCGCAACATCATCCGCATGTACCAGAGCCGCCCGGGCCCTGTTCCTGTGCCAGTACAGCCATCCAGGTGGGTCCCAGGGGGTGACCAGGGCTGCCCACTCCCCAGGGAGCCACTCTGTGGACTCACGACCTCTTCCTTCCCTCAGGAAGCCCCCCAAGTCTTTCGTGAAGAGAAACAGCCCTAAAGATGAGGCCCTGGCTAAGTTGGGGATCAGTGGTGCCCAAACATCCACATCGGTGAGGCCCCATCCTGTCCAGGGCATGGCTTCTCGCCTTGGGAGTCCAAGGCTCTCTGGGGTAAAATTTAGCCTCGCTCCTAGAGCCAGCTGTGTACATTCTCTGTGCCTCCCCAGGCGCTGCCCCCCAGCCCAAGGAAGGGCCCCCCGCCTCCTGTGGCCCCTCGACCCAAGGTCCCAACACAGCTCGGGCCCTCCAACTCCATCAGGGAGAACCAGGGTCTGTTTGGCCAGACTCCGCCTGCTGTCCATGCATCCCCACCTCCTCCAGCGCCTCCACTGCCTGGAGAACCAGAGATCCTTTCAGTGGAGCCCCCCGGTAAGGAAGCTCTTGTCCCTCGGTGGTGGGCTTCACTGAGGCAGCAGGGTTCCCAGTGGCTGAGGTCGGCCCCTTGGGGTGCTCAGGCTTCGGGACTTTGGAGCCATGGGCAAGGAGCCCGGCTTCCGCATTCCCATCCAGGGCGGGGCCCGGGCACTCCTGGGGCCCATGTGGCATTGAGGGACTGTCACAGGGTGGTGTCTTCAATGCAAAGCTGACAGCTCCATCAGGAATTTAGTGGCCCTGCTGACGTGGTCAGGGACAACAGGGAAGATGAGGGCTGGAGACGGAAGCAGGAGATGGGATGTGGGCAGGATGGAGGCAGCAGACGTTGCAGGGGCCAAGCCCTCGCAGGGCCCCAGGGAGGTGAGGGCTTTCTGTCCCCACGTCCCTGTCATTCTGGCCCTGGCAGCTCCTCGCCTGAAGCTCTCTGGCCCTTCCCTCTGCCAGGCTTGCTGAAGCCCATGGGGGACCAGGGGGTCTCCACCCAGCTGCTTGTGCCCTCTGGCAGCGTGTGTTTCTCCTATGTCAGTGCACCCTGGAAGCTGTTCCTACGCAAAGAGGTGGGCGTGCGGGGGAGGGGCAGGCACTGCAGAGGGGTGGCGGACGGTGGGTGGGACCCCAGCCTCTCCCCCACAAACAAACACGGGGGGCTGCCTCCCCACGACCCACCTTGTCAGGCCTGGTTTTCCATCTGGGCTGAGCAAGGGCACCATTGCCAACGGCTTTCCACCCCCCATGCCTTCCTACAGGTGTTCTACCCCCGGGAGAACTTCAGCCACCCCTACTGCCTCCAGCTCCTCTGTGAGCAGGTGAGGGCCCGGTCCACCTACAACACGGACAGACAGACTGCTCCCGTGTCTGGGCCAGGTTACTGTTGGTGCGAGGCAGGAGAGCAGCAGTACTTACGCGGCAGGCGCTCTGTTTCAAGCCCTGCCTTTATTTATTTAATCCTCACGACATCCCTAAGAGTAAGGACCATTACTGGCCTGGAATGAGGATTCAAAATCAAGTGTATGTAGTCTCCAGCACCCAGCAGACATTCCCCATTGCTTGTTTCTCGGCCACCCCTGGAAGCTCCGGGACCCTACCTCTTCCCCCAGATTTCGGAGCAGCCTCCCTGCCTCCCCCAGTTCTGTTCCCTCAGGGGAGTTTGTCTCAGGGGGCTGGGGACAGCAGCCCACTCATGCAGGTGGTCGTGGGGAGGCGGCCCTGGGCTCAGAAGCCCCACATCCCTCCCTGGCCCGCCCACGCCCACGGGGCTCTTTCGCTTTTCCTCCGCATGCTGAGCTCTGGTGGTGACCGCCTGGCTCTGCCCCCAGATCCTGAGGGACACCTTTGCCGAGTCCTGCATCCGGCTCTCCCAGGAAGAGCGGCACAGAATGAAAGAGCTACTGGGTAGGGTCCAGGGACCCTGGAGTTGGGGAGCTGAATAGTGGGGGCGTTGGGAGGGGGACAAACTCTGGGGTAGCCCTGTGAAGGAGCCTGAGGACTGTCTGGGGCCGTTCCTGCCAACAGGAGACCTGGAGGTGGGCCTAGATTCGCTCAGTACCACCCAGGACAGTGTTAAGAAGCGCATCGTGGTGGCCGCTCGGGACAACTGGGCCAATTATTTCTCCCGAATCTTCCCTGTCTCGGTCAGTGAGGCTGGACGTGCGGCTGGGGATGGCAGTACTGCAGTCTGGCCCCTAGCGTGTCCTGCATGGGCCTTTGTGGCAGGGATGAGAGCTGGGGGTGGGGTGGGCTCCAATGGAAGGACCCCCAGAGCATCTTGGATGGTGGTGGGGGACCAGGAGCCTGTCACCTTCCTTCCGGGCAGGGTGAGAGCAGCAGTGACGTTCAGCTGCTGGGTGTGTCCCACCGGGGACTGAGGCTGCTCAAGGTGACCCAAGGCCCCAGCTTCCACCTCAACCAGCTGAAGACTCTCTGCTCATACAGGTGAACCTGGGCTGGGGGCTGAGCTGTGGATGGCCCCGGGGGCGAGGGGGCTCCCAGCTCATGCCTCCTCCCGTGCACAGCTTTGCTGAGGTGCTGGGCGTGGAGTGCCCGGGCGGCTCCACTCTGGAGCTGTCACTAAAGGGTGAGCAGCTGCTGTTGCACACGGCCCGGGCGAGTGCCATCAAGGCCATGATTGAGCTGTTCCTGAGTGAGCTCAAGAAGGCAAGCGAGGGTGGGCAGGGGGCTGGGTGGGGGGTAGGGGCTGGCTGGCCAAGCTCCCTCAAGCCAGCAGGGGACCTTGGAACTCTGGCTCGCTGGGTGGAGGGTGAGGCCCACAGCGGGAGCAGGTGAGGCGGGCAGGACTGGGACTGTGGGCAGACTGGCTCCCTTACCTGCGCGCCCTCCTGCCTGCAGGACTCTGGCTACGTCATCGCCCTGCAAAGCTACCTCACTGATGACCACAGCCTCCTCAGCTTCCACCGTGGGGACCTCATCAAGCTGTTGCCAGTGGCCGCTCTGGAGCCGGGTATCCCTGGGGGCAAGCAGGGTGCTGGCACATGGAGAGCAGCCCATGGCAGAGCCTCTGAGGGGCAGCGGGGCCAGGTGGGTGAGCCGCTGTCCTTGGGTGCCTTCCAGGCTGGCAGTTCGGCTCCACCGGTGGCCGTTCGGGACTCTTCCCCGCCAACATCGTTCAGCCAGCTGCTGCTCCAGACTTTTCCTTTTCGCTAGAGAGGAGTGGCAGGCACGCGAGTCAGCTGCAGCACAGAGAGCCAGGGCTGGCTCGGTGGGAGAGGGCGTCGGAGGTGAGGAAGATGCGGGAGGTGGAGGCGAGGCCTAACTAGGAGTCGAGGAAGGAAAGGGCTTGAGTGTCCCTGAGTGGCGGGTGGCACTTGGTCTGATGCTGCCCCTCTGCCGTCTCCTGATTCCGTGCCTTGTCTCCTCAGCAAGGCTGTGAGCTCCTTGCAGACAGAGCCTGGGCCGTGTGCCCTTTGTGCCTTTGCAGCATTTAACTGCTACCCTAGAGGATGCTCAGTAAACACCTCTTGACCCTCCTGGGGGTGTGCTCAATCCAGCTGTTCTTCCTGCTCTGCCTGGGTTGGGCTGGGTGGGGGCTGGGCATGGCCTCTGGACACGCCTGTGGGCACTCAGGTGGCATGAGCTCTCCTGTGTTCTCAGCGCCATGGCCGTCCCCGGAGCCAGACACACAGTGAAAACTCCGAGGCCACCAGCTCCAACCACTCTGTGGCCTACCTCTCTCTGTCCACGGACTCCCACAATTACACCATGCAGGAATTTGCCCTGCACCACTTCCGGAAGCCCCAGACATTGTGAGTGCCCTGGGCCCGCCCCTCTGCCTGCCCATCCTCAATCTCCCTGAACAAGGCCTCCCTGCTCAGAGCCACCAGGCCAGTGGCGATGGGGCCGGCCAAGCAAGCAGGGCTGTCCTCCCCTCTGCCCCCTCAGGCTGGACCAGACAAGTAGCGATGCCAAGAAGGCCATGGCCAACCTGGTGCAGTACACCAAGGTGAGGGGGACAGGTGGGGGGAGTTGGGCCACTGGACCTGCCCACTGCCCCCATGCACCCACAGACCCATGACCCAGTCTCTTTGGCCACAGGTTCCCATACAAGAATCGCTCATCAGCCTCAGTGATGAGGACACAAACGGGCAGGCTGTGGAAAGTTTCCAGGGTGAGTGGCCACAACTTCCCGCGTCCCCGTGTTCGTGGTGCCTCGGACCTAGGTGCCAGGTCTCCTTCCCTCCTGAGTTTGTCAACTCCGGGAAGCTCACTGGTGGTTACTGTATCTCACAGCCCTCACCTCCTTCTACCCACACCCAAGGGGTGGTGGGTTGTATACAGTGAGTATGGGCAGACAGGTCTCTCTGTCTCTCTCTCGGTCTGTGTCTCTGTCTCTCGGAGCCGTCTCATCGCTGACGTGGAGACTGCTCTGCTCTGCCTGGCTCATGCGTTTTCAAGAGCAAGGCATGAGGGGAGGGTGCCTGGGGACAGGAGGAGCCAGGACCAGGGCCCCCACCCAGTTCACCACTTCTCATCCCACCCGCAGCTCTGATGCAGTTTATGCGGGACCAGCCCAAGCCCCGGGGCAAGAATGAGGGGGACCTCCTTTATGAGCTGCTGAGGGTAAGCAAGAGCTTGTGTGCTGGGAGGCAGGGGGTGGGATGGGGTGGGGGAGACACCGTGTGCCCCGAGGGTCTGTTCCTGTCTTCCTGCCTGGACCTGAGTCAGGTTCCCTTGGTCAATAGTCTTTCAAATGATCCCAAAGTATTTACTGAGTTACATTACATGCTGGGGGGCATGGTGGTGAACCAAGCAGGCCAAGTCCTCGCAGAGCGTACAACCTGGTGAGCGAAGACAGTCCCAAAGCCATGACCCAGTGTATCCAAGAGTTCAAAGTGCTGTGGGGAAGGACACAGCAGGGAAGGGGCTGCTACAGTGCAGAGGCTTGGTGACAAGGTGACACAGGAGCAGTGATCTGACGGAAGCCGGAGAGAGAGGCACGTGTGCACGGGGGCAACACACGCAGGCAGAGAGAGGGGCAGGGGTGAAGTTCCTGCCTTTAAAGGGTGAGCCTTTAGTACCAGTGAGGCCAGCGTGGCTGGAGCCCAGTGAGCCAGGACAGGTTGGAGGGTAAGGCCTGGCAGGCCGTCGTACGCTACTCTTGGGACTGATTTCTCAGGAGAGAGGGGCACTTGAGGGGGTTTGCAGAGACTGGCTTACATTTTTAGATGGCTCCGGCTGCTTGCCACCCCTCCCGGGCAGGGCAGGGGGATGAGGGCCAGAAGAGGTTATTGTGATCACCAGGTAAGGGATGGTGCTGACCAAGCCCACAGGTAGCAGCAGAGCAGAGAAGGCTCCGAACAACAGGGCTTGCTCTGAATTGTATGTGGGGTGTGACGGAGGCCTTGGGCAGAGCAGTGACCATCCTCCATACGAAGGCCTGAGGGAGGAGCAGGTCTGGGCTGGTGCAGGAACCTGTTTTGGGCATGTGAAATCTGGAGTCCACGCTTCCAAGCAGGGGGCCTGGGTTCCAGGGAGGCACTGGCAGACAGCAGGTGCGAGCAGCTGAGATCATCAGGGCATATAGACAGAGACCCAAGGGCTAGAGGTCAAGGATAAGGGGAGCCAGCAGACAAGACAGGGCCCAGCACAGCCCACAAGCAGATGAAAGCAGTGAATTAGAAAGTGACCACTTGGGCACAAGCTGTGACAAAGACCAAGAGATGGCCTCCTGCCCGTGGCCGCTAGCAGGATTTCTGCCTGACTTCAGATCCCATGCCACCCTGCCCCCTGCTCTTCCTGTCCCCACAGCTGTGTCGGGAGGAGAACCTCAGGGATGAGATTTACTGCCAAGTCATCAAACAGGTCACAGGACACCCTCGGCCGTGAGTACACAGGGCTGGGGGCAGCGGGGAGGGCAGCCCGGGGCTGCAGCCGGGACCTGGTGGCCTGAAGCCCAGGCTCTCCCCCCTGCAGGGAACACTGTGCTCGTGGCTGGAGCTTCCTCAGCCTACTCACAGGCTTCTTCCCCCCGTCAACCACGCTGATGCCTTATGTGACCAAGTTTCTGCAGGATTCAGGCCCACACCAAGGTGCCTATGGGGGGGAACTCCCAGGCTGGAGTCAGCAGCTTGGTGAGGGGTTTGGAGATGCCTGTGACCCCAGCCTGCTTCTCCTCTGCAGAGCTGGCCCAGCGCAGCCAGGAGCACCTCCAGCACACGGTCAAATATGGGGGGCGCCAGCGGCTGCCCTCTCTGGGTGAAATTCAGGCTTTCCTGGTACTGGGGGGCACAGGTGGCTGGGCATTATGGGACTCCCTCGTGGGGGACAGGGAGTTGGGGGCTCTGGCCACTGGGGCACTGACCCTGCGATCTGTCTTGGCAGAAAGGACAAGTAGTCCGCCCACTTCTAATTCACTTGCCAGGGGGTCTGGATTACAAAACCAATATCCGGACTTTCACGGTGAGCACGGGGCCACTGAGCAACGGCTAGGGAGAGAAGGGAAAGCTGTGGCATCAGTTCTGGGGACACTCCCCTTCCTGGCCCTGTCTCTGTGCCCAGGTGACAGCAGAAGTGCTGGAGGAGCTGTGCCAGCAGATGGGTATCACTGACCCCCAGGAAGTGCAGGAATTCGCCCTCTTCCTCATCAAAAAGGAAGGTGAGCCCCTTGCCTAGGGAGAAAGTGGCGGGAGGAGGGGGGCGCCAGACTGGATTCCAGAAGGTGGCTAACCTGCCAGCCGTGCGCCCACGAGCGAGGCAAGTTCCCATGCTGGGGCTGGCAGGCCTGTGAGCGGGGCTGGCCCTGGACAGCAGGGCAGGCTGTGGACCTGGGCTCCCCACGCAGGCAAGCTGGTGCGGCCCCTGGGGCCCCATGAGTACCTCAACAGCGTGGTGGATCAGGACGTGAGCCTGCACAGCCGGCGGCTTGGCTGGGAGACCCAGCTGCACTTCGAGAACCCCACCTACATCACTACTCACTACAGCCAGGTCAGCTGCCACCCCCACTCCCGGCCCCCCAGCCTGCCATGTGCAGCTGGTAGCTTGACCTGGGCAGCAACTTGCGAGCGAGCCCCTGCCTGGGTGAGGGACCTCCAAGCCTCCCCCCGCCCCCGAAGAGGAGATAGTGACAGGACGGAGCTGGAGTCCCCCGGAGCCACCGCTGAGTGGGGGCTTTGGGGGACAGCTGTGCCCCCCCTCACTGCCGTCCCTTCTCAGGTGCTGTGGGACTACCTACAGGGGAAGCTGTTGGTCAGCCCGCAGGAGGACACCCTGCTGGCCAGGCTGGCCGCCCTGCAGCACCGCAGCAAGGCCCAAGAGGACCACCTGTCCGAGTGAGTGTGAGCGCAGCCCCACACCTCCTGACCCCCCTTGTCCCTGCTGGTGCTGAGGCCCACCGCAGCATGCCCCCCAGGGGCCTCTCCTTCAGGCCCCCCCACCCAGTCCTCCAATGTCAAAGCCACTCAACTTGTACCCTTCCTGGCCTTAATGAGACGGGCTCAGAGTAGTGGAGGCTGTTGTACACCTGACTTCCCCACCCCCAGCTCCTCAAGGGCAGGGCCCATACCTCATTCCTAAGCCTGGATCCCCAGTCACACCCACCTACAGTAGCCTTGTTCATTTACTTAGCACCTGCTGTATACCCAGCCCTGACTGACCTGTGTCGTAGGCGAGACCTTTTGGCTTACCTGCCCAAGCCACTGCAACAGCAAGTGAACATGTCAACCCTAAAGAACCTGACGGAGCAGGAGCTGAGGTGGATACAAGCACGCAGCTCCCAAGAAGCACAGATCAGCTTCATTGGTGGGTCTGGGACCTGGGGGTTGCAAGGGCCGGAGCGGGAGACCATGAAGGGAAGGGGTGAGGTGGAGGGGAGCCTCTCTATCTTGCCCTGCTCCGCTCACCCAAGCTGGAGGCCAGGTTGGGCAGGCCCCAGGGCCCCAGTGACCAGCACTCCTCTCCCGGCCCCTCCCTTCGCAGAGGCTGTGAGCCAGCTGCCCCTCTTTGGCTACACCGTCTATGTGGTGCTACGGGTCAGTCAAATGGCCCTGCCTGGACCCTGCTTCCTGGGACTCAACCGCCAGCGCCTCATCCTCATGGAACCCAGCTCCCAGGTGGGCCAGGCTCCCCGCCCCAGTGCTGACCTGAGCACCCTGCACCATGCCCCCACCATCCGTGGTGACCCCTTCCCTGAGAGGGTCCAATCTCCGCTGTCTCTGCTGCCCCCAGAAACTGTGCTGCTCCATCGCCCTGAAGGAACTGCAGCGCGTCCAGCTGCTGAGCGCCCTGGAGAATGATGGGCCCCCTGGCCTGGAACTTAACTACGGCTCTGCCCACAATCCCCAGACCATCTGGTTTGAGCTGCTGAAGGTGAGGGGCCAGGGCCTCCGATGACACACTAGGCAGGTGGCGAGTGTGTGACCCAGGCCTGGTGCAGGGGTGGGGGGCACAGCCGGGAGCCCTGTCCTCACATGCCTGTGCCCCGCAGGCCCAGGAGCTGAAGCACACCCTCGCCTTCCTGCTAGAGAGCGGCGCTGCTTCCCACTAGCGCGGGCCTCACCCAGGAGGAGTGGGGGAGGGGCCCTTCCCGGGTCCGAGTTTGACTGGGATGGTCTCCCCTGGGTGCCATCAGGCCATTTTGGTTTGGACTTCCCCACATGGCTGTTCTGGAACCTCCCGCAGCACAGCGCTACTGGCCCACGTGGAGGCCAGGAGGCAGGAGCTGCTATGGTGACACGAACTGGGAAAGAGAATAGCAGGACCCCCCCTGGGGGCGCCCAGAGCGGGGAGGGGGGTGCAGGAACTCACTTGGGCAGCTAATGCTGCATACCCTGGGGGAGATGCCCACACGGCGCCAGGTCCTGGCTCAACATCGACACGATCCCAGCCTGGGAGAAGCAAACACTGAGAAAATAAAACTCCAAGAGAAAAGGACTGTGTGTGTGTGTGTTGGGGGGGAGGGGTGTCAAAACCAACAGGACTTTATTTCTCAGGGACGTCTCAGTCCGGCCTGGCCTTCCTGACCAGGAACTGAGCAGGGTCCGGCGGTAGTGGCCAAGACCCTGAGGTGGCCCAATGCCTCAGCCAGGTGGGCTTCGCCCTGGCTTACAGCTCATTAAGAGTAAGAGGTAGAGGAACCACTTCTTACTGTTCCCCTGGTGGCAGCCACACCACCCCACTACCTTCTAATCTGAGGACCTGGCTCAGAAAAGCCAGCCATGAGAGGCAGGGAGGCTAAGAGGAAGGAGACCTCGGATTTCGCAAGCAGAAGGTGGCTGGCCTCTGGCCTTGATGTGGGGGAGGTGTCTGGGGCCATCTCCAAAGCAAGCATGGTTGGAAGGGGGAGGGACCCTGAGCAAAGAGGATGCCCCTGATGGCTGCAGGCTTTCCACCTTCCCGTTCCTGAGTGAGGCCCAGGTTGGCCCACGGTTGAAGTTGGGGGAGCACTCTGGCTCTAGGGGGCAGCAGCTGGTCATCTCTGTGGGTCACACAGGCCGTGCCAGTCAGCTTCACTCTCACACCGGGCCCGGCCGTGGAAAAACTGCTTGATGAAATTCTGAGCCTCCTCCTTTACTACAGAGTCGAGAAGGGGGAACATGAGGGCCAGTCCCTCCACACCCCCAGGCCCCGCAAATGCTCCCTGGCCTGGTGACGCAGGCACTCACCGCTCTTTCCAGGAGAGGTCTTCTGAGTCAGGGAGTGTGAGAGGTGGCGGGCGAAGGCTTTAAACAATTCCTGGAGGCAGAGGGTGACAGGAGCAAAGGGCACAGACCCGGGCCCTGCCGCCACCAGTGGCCCACAGCCATGACCCAAGGGCAAGGCAGACCCCGGGGAAGGAGGCAGCGGCCTTAGGGCCTAGCCTGCTTCCGCCCCACTTTGTCCTCTGGCTACAGTCCCTGCCCCAGGATCCCAGGCCCAGGAGCGGGCAGAATCCACCCACCTACCCTACCTTGGATGCAAACTTGCCCTCCTTGTAGAAAGGGGTCAGGCATTTGACCACGACATTTGCAGCCTCCTTGAGGGAGATGCCAGGGACTGGGAGACGGCAGGAGCCTTGGACCGTGTGGTTCAAGGTGTCCTGATCGCTGGCCGAGATGCTGTCCTTGGCTTCAGCTAAGATGGAGGCATTGGCTGAGGGGCAAGGCCTCTTCTGAACCTGGTTCTCTGGGTTCTCCTGTGCGGGACCCAAGTGGAGCATCACTCTTGGGCTCCCTGTCACCAGCCCCTCCCTTCCTTCTGGAAGACTGGGCCGCAGCATCCGTCAGCTCCCTCTAGCCCAGCCCATCTAACCCTGGGATGTAAAAAGAGACAATTTTCCCCAAATCCCTAATTTGGAGCAGAACAGAGCAGATAGCGGCCTGGTCTGCAGGGCCCCTCCCCTGAGGCCTTATCCTCATTAGTACCTGCTGGGGTCTGGGCCGCTTGCCCGTGCGTGTCTCCTGTGCAGGGGTGGGCTGGCCTTCAGGGGGCCCCTGGTTTCTGATTGGGCGGGCCCTGGCCAGGGGGGAGAGCAGGTGTCAAGAGCTCCAGGTGCCAGCCACACCCCAGCATAGCTGGCCCAGAAGTGCACCCTGGCCAGGGCTGCAGAGGCCCAGTGAGCAAAACAGATTCCAGAGAATTTCAGAAATATCAGAGCCCTTACCTTGACCTCTCCCCGGTGCACTCCTTGGTCTGGGGGTATGCAGCCAAACACCCCAGGGCTCCATCCTCCTCCCCTGCAAGCTCCTCTGGGACTGCTGGGGGTCCCCGCACTCCCTCACAGGAATGGCTCGCACCTTCCGCCCCTGGTGCTGAGGTGAGGGGAGATGGGCTCTGGGCCCTTTGGTAGAAGCGGGCGATGTTCTGAGAATCCTTGAGGGCTGCCGCTGCTAGGAGCTGCTGCTTCTTGCTGGCCCGGGCCTTGGCAAGGGGACCGCCCTTAGAGGGACTTTTCGCCTTCTTCTCAGGGGGGGACCCCCCACAATGAGCACTGCTTTTAGGGGCCTCTCCTCTGGGCCCCAGGAAGCACCCACTGCAGTCACCCTGGAGGCTTGGGGGCTGGCTGGGGGGCTCCCGCTCACCTCCCAGCACAGGCTGGGGGGCTTGCTCCTCGGCCCGTGTCTTCTCCATCAGCTCAGTGGCCGTCTGGAATGGGCAGGAGCCTTTGGGAAAACCAGCTCCCACCCGCTTGGGTTTGAGCTGTGAAGAAGATGAGAGGGTTCTGACCACCAGGTCCTTGAGGACAGTCACGGGCTGGTCTGGAACGGCTCTTGGGAGTGGAGGAGGGAAAAACCAGGCAGGACGCCACTAGGGGGTCACGCTGATGTGAGTTCTGTGGGGGCTGCAGAGGTGCAGCTGCGAGGGCAGGGAGGCTGGAGGGCCTGCACCAGGGCACCTAGGGCCAGGGCTATGGTACCCAGAGAGGGCCAGCGGCCATGCCATGGCTGAGGACAAGGGGAGGTGATGCCTTTCCCAGACCCAGGTTTGGGGTGTATCCCAAGATGCTACTCACCGAGTACACTTGGGAGGCCGGCCGGATGTCATACTCGGTGGGCTCTGGGGGCTGGGCCTGGGCACTGTGACTTCTGGTATTGCCTTCCACATCATAGAGCTGCCCATCCTTGGAGGCTCTGTGGATCTCGGCCACCTGAGTCACGGACAGGCAGGGACGACATGGCACCAATAGGTCCTCAAAGTCCCAACACAGGCTATCCACAGGTGGGCTTCTAGGGCCTGTGGCTGAAGGTAATTGGACACTGGACAAGTTCTAGTCCTCACGGGGGTGGCTAGAAACGTCTCCAGCTGGCAAAGAAGGGAGGTGAGGCTGTCCTCTGTAAGTGGCTGCCTTGCAGGGGACAGGCAGACAGCCTGGGAAGGTAGAGGGGCCGCCTCTCCCACCCTAGCCCATAGGCAAGCCTGCCTGGGCCCACCTTCTTTAGCACGCTGGCCTTGTACAGGTTGGCCACCTTGGCATTTCGGAACATCTCATATTCCAGCTCCACAGCCCTGGGCTGGAGATCAGGTCTGAGAGTAAGAATAAGCATAAGGCGTCAGGTGGGCCTGAGCCCTCTCTCTGTTGAGCTCCTGCTGGATTCCATCTGGGGACCCTGGAGATGGCTCCGCGGCCTAGTGGGACTGGCCTCAGGCACAGGGATTCCCGCCTGGACTCCTGGACTCTGGGCAAACTGTGGCTTACTGCCCGGGACTGGCAGCTCCTTAGTCCTGGATAAGCCCGCCCCCTGCTGGGGCAGTGAGACCTGCAGCCACTGGGAGCATGAAGTGTCACACTCTGAGGAGGGGGTGCCCAAGGAAGCCAGGAGGGATGGGGGCTCTTGTGGTCTGCAAAGGAACAGGGGCTCAGAGAAGCCTCCTAGGCCCCTGGGACCTGGGACACTCACCCATCAGCAGTACCTGTGGCCTGGCGGTTACTGCTCAGAGCCTCTTCTAGAAGCCCCAGGCAGTGCTCACGGGCCTACACAGGGGAAGGAATTTGGTCACTGAAGCCTTAAGGTTGGGGGAGGAGTCTGGGGGACAGAGCTGCCCACCTCTCACCTTCACAGTGAGTCTGGGGATCTTCCTGCTGGAAGCCTCTTTCAGGGGACAGTCCTCATCTGTGGGGAAGAGGGGTGGGTCACATTCTACTTCCTGCTTTCTGGAGTCCCCAGCCCCCAGTGAGGCATCTACCCCCTGGGAACAGCCCCAGAGTCCCTGACGACACTTCTGTACTGACCTGGAGGTACAAATTCTTCTATCTTGGAGTCTTTGCCCTGGAAGAGGACATGAAGGGCCTATGAGGCATCTTGCTTGGCTGCAGGACGGCCCCCAGGGTAGGGGCTGAGAGAGTGTAAACAGTGGGAGGGGGGCACCGGAGACCCCATCAGGCCCCCACCCCCTTTACCTTGCGTAGGCTCATCTGGTTTTGGTAGAAGAGATTCCATTCCCGCTTGTGGGCCTCATCTCTGCCCTCGTCCCCACTGCCTCCAGAACCTTCATCGTACCTAGGGGACAGACTAGGCGTGAGCAGCTCTGGGCCTGACTCTGCCCTCCTGTCGTGCCTCGCTGGCAGGGCGCTGGTTGTCTCTGACAGCCTGGCCACCAGCAACAACATCAAGCTCCTGACTCTGCCACGGCCCCCAGGGGCAAGGCTGAACTATGGCATTGGGACACCTCTGGTCTGTCCTCAGCACAAAGAGAATGCCAGCCTATCTGCAGTGGGTTGGGGGGGCCCTGACTCCACGGCCCCTCACCTGCTGAAGCCCCCATAGCCCCGGCGGCCTCCCTCATACAGCTCAGGGTCAAAGCCTTTCCCCTGGGAAGGCCCAATGCAAGTCTTGCTCCAGCTGCTTCTGTGCTCTAAGGCATCCAGCTGCTTCCGCAGGGCTGCAGGATCCCGGCAGTGGTCACAGCCCTTGGTGCAGGCAGGGCGTGCATCCCCGAAGTACTTGGCAATGGCAGCATGGCGGCACCTGGCAGAGAGAGCACAGGCCAGTGTTCATTCGCCCACTCCCTAGACCCCATCTGAGGAGCTCTATGTGCTGGGCACCACACTCAATAGCTCATACACCTCCTCTTGTGCAAGCCTGGCAAGGCATCACTGAGTTGCCCATTTTACAGATGAGGACAATGAAGTGAAAGAGATTTCCCAAGGTCGTTTAACGTATGGGGGAATCCAGAGGAGCCAGGTCGTGACCCCCACCTCCCATTCTGTCTGGCTTCTCTATGGGGTTCCTCCTCTAGGTCCCAGCCCTCTGCTCTGTCCTCTGGCCGTGGGGTGCCCTGGGAACAGCTCCAGCTCCGGGTACAGATGCTGACTCTGCTGCTGAGGCTGCATCCTTAGGGAAAGGATCTGGCTTCCCAAAGCCTACACATCCTTGACTGGAAGATGCTGCAAGAGCACTGGCTCCACGGCCGAAGGGCAGTGTGTGGTGTCCAGCGCGCACATAGCAAGGGCTCTTCTGTGTACCCTTCACCCTTGCCCAGAGGTAAGGGAGGGAAGGACCAGCATGACATAGCCCTACCCCAGCCTTGGCACTCTACTCTGCTATCTCTTTGGGTTGTTTTGTTTTTTGTTTTTTTTTCTTTCCTGAGAGAGAGACAGTGTGAGCAGGGGAGGGGCAGAGAGAGGGAGACACACAATCTGAAGCAGGCTCCAGGCTCTGAGCTGTCAGCACAGAGCCCAACACGGGGCTCGAACCCATGAACCGTGAGATCATGGCCTGAGCCAAAGTCGGTTGCCCAACCGACTGAGCCACCCAGGCACCCCTGCCTTGCTATCTCTTGACGACCTCTTCCTTGCCCCAAGAAGAGGTGCCTGTGTCCCTAGCCTGGGGCCGGGGGACTGCCCGAGAGCAGAAATCAGCAGCACTGAGGGCTGGCATCGTACGCTAGTTGCTGGTGATGGCAATGGGAGACCAGCTTTGGCAGGAGTCTCATCGCATCACTCAGTGCCTCAACCCAGCCACGGGCCCCCTGCCAGGGTACAGACTCCAGCTGTCCTTCCTATGACTCCCAGGAGGGAGGCACAGTTGGTCCTTGGGACAGGTGCAGAGGCCTCCTGGGGGGGTGGTGCAGATATAATCAGGGCCTTTGCAAAGGGCCAGTCTTGCCACAGGAATGTAGCATGAGGTGGGAGAGCCCAAGAGATGGGCAGCAGAGGCAGGGCTGTCCAGGCGCCACGTCCTGGGTACAAGAATAGGTGGTGTCACCCTCTACCCAGAATGCCTCTCACTGTGAGCACTGCCTGGAACTGCAAAAAACACTGTGAGGAGTGGAGAGCCTGAGGGGCGTCTCCAGGAACGAGAGCTGACGTCACACAGGTCCTAGGCAGTGGGGTCTGGCTGCCCTGTTTAGAGAATGCAGCTCAGGACGCCACCAGGGGGCACTGTTCCTGCCACTCCTAAAACCAACGGGCGACTCCTTCCACTGCTAGTCGGTACATCTGCACAGTGGCCGCCTGTCCAGCCTCTGGGAGTCTCCGGCGTCCAAGTGGTGTGGCTGCACGGTTGGCTTCCTTCCCCCAACCCTCCCTCAAGCCCGGACTCACTGGGGTTTTGTGCTCACACTCAAAGGGCTCCATTGAGAGCTCACAGATGCAGGCTGGGGTCGGCTCCTGTCCTGCTCCGGGCACAGCCTGGTCTGCTGGGGTGGCGCAACCAACCAAATGTCAAAGGGCCCTGCCAGCCACTGAGCTCTGGAGCCCAACCCTGACGGCCAGGGCCAGGAGTGCAGAGACGGCCCCAGCAGGCACCCTTTGGAAAGAGATAGGCGGTGTCCTCCCTCCTCCTGGGGTGGAGGAGCAGCAGCAGGCACTTCCCCGGCAGGCAAGCAGGCCCCACAGGCAAGCAGGCCACTCTCAGGTCACCCCTAAGTTCCTCCCCAAGGGCCTGGCCTCGTGGGTGGTCCGGCAGCTCCCCCACTATTTACTTCCTAGGAGGGGCCAGAGGGTGGGACCAGCCCGGGAGTCTCCAGAAAGACAGGTTGGCTGGTCAGGCGGATGGGCTCTAATCCTTCCAGAGGGTGGGGAGGGAGCCAGAGAGCCTGAGTGCTGCCGGGCATCCCTCCCTCCGCACCCCACTGCTCAGGTGGAGCCTCCCAGAGGGCATCTTTGCCAGGGAAAAAGAGAGCTGACCTCTGTTATCAGCTCCCCGCCCAGGCCCAGCCCACCATGGCTTAGCACACACCCGCCAGGAGGGACAGGAGAGGAAGAGGAGGCACAGAAGGGACTGGGGCTCGCCCTTGCAGACCTCCCAGGGGCGGGGCCACCTGCACAAGAGTCTGAAGCCACCCTCTGAGGTCCCAGCAGGGATTCACTCGACTGGGCAGGGACAGCGGTGGCACTGGCTCCCCAGCTTCGGTGGCCGCCCCTTGTAATTTGACACTTGGATCTCCAGGACGACCAACAACAGAAAAGCGGAGGCCGAGACAGCAGCTGGCTGTCAGCAGCCAGGAGCTCCTCTGGCTCTGAGGAAGGCGCCCAGCAGTGGGGCAGGAAAGAGGCATCCGAGAAGGAAGGAAGAGGTGGTGGCCGGGCGAGGCCGGGCGAGGGAGGCTGCCGGGCTCCCCAGCATCCGCAGTTGCCCCTCAACCCGACACCTGAGTTCCCAGGTGAGTGGGGCCTGCCACAGACGATGGGTGAGGGGGCCAGCCAGGGTCTCCTGCCCCAAGGGTGGAGAGCCACAATCTACCACGAACACAGGGGCTGTGGGGGTGCACTTGGTCAGTCTCCGGCCAGCCTCGTTTCAATCTGGGCTCTCCCTTCTTCTGCTGGGACCCAGCACTCGGGGGACACAGGCTGAGGCTGCAGCTCTCTGCTCCGAGTGCTTTCCTCCCTGCTTGCTGAGCAGGCAGAGGGGCCCCGAGCGCCTGCTTACTCTGCAAGTTAGTTTAAGCTTTTTCTATTCAGGGGGCTTAAACAAGGGATTTGGTCATCCTGGCTTGGAGAGAACGGCTGCTGGCCCTCGGAGCCTCCCTTCTGCCCAGGATCAATGCAGAACCCTCTGTCCCTGCTTTCTCCCAGTGGAGGCGGCTCAGGGCAGGGTCTTCCCGCCACTTCGTGCCCCTCAGGATGTGGCAGGACCCACAGCAGCAGCTCTGCCCGTCTGTGTCCTGCATCAGAGTGGCAGCTGCCACCTTGAGAGGGGCCTGGCCCGCTCACTGCCAGGTGTTCCTAGCTCAGAGCTAAGCCCAGGTCCTCCTCCCTGGGCCCATTCAGAATCCCACGAGCCCCACATCTCTCTGAATGCTGTGCCAGAAGCATGAGGGCCTGGCTCCGACCCCAAGGTGGGGTGGGGGAGACGGCGATGGTGAAGCTGAGGCTGAGGCCAGTGAAGGACACAGCAATGGAATGCTGACCCCAGCATAGCTCCCCAGCAGCCCTGGGAGCAGCCCCCTTGGGCAGGGCCCCATGAACCGAGGCTGCTTGCTCCTCCTGCCTCCTTGTCCTCACACTAGGGCTAAAGTCTCCCTTCCCCGCCCCTCAGATGTTTCCCCCAAAGCAAACAGGCTAGTATCTACTAGGAAAGAAAAACAACAATCCAGGGAAAAGTGGAAACCAAGAATCAGTCCAAGTGTTCTTGGCTCAGCAGAGTCTGTGAGATTTGGCCTGAGTCGGTGGCTGGAGAGGCTAATACCCTGCCAAGATGGCCCTGCATGGCAGAGAGGGGACGGCACTGGCAGTGCTGGAGGCAGCGGACAGGGCTGGGTAAGGGATGCGCACAGTGGCGAGCCAGGGCTACCCCTGCTGGCTCTGATCTGTACGACAGCCCAGGCGGGCGGGGATCAGAGTGCCTGCGGCCACAAGGACATACGTGGATGGGGTCCCCTGAACCCAGGCCCTGAGCTGGAACGGAAGGGCGATACCTCGCTTCTGGGGGCTGCGGGAGCCATCGCTAGCAGAAGCAAGTGTCTCCTCCAGTCCTGGAAAGCAGGACTGCTCTGGGCTCAAGCATCTGCTCTCCACAGCAACTTGGAGCCAAGGCAGAAAAGGGTGTCATCTGAAGGCTTGATGCAGCCAATGCCCAGTGGACATCTCTGCCTTGCTGGTCACAGTCCCCTGGACCCTGAAAATCTGCCACAACCATCAGTTTGCCTCATGATAGCTGTTTCTCAAACAAAACAATGCCCTGTGGGGCAAGGGTGGCTGCAACCCTCTGTGACAAAATGATGGCGGCAGAGCAAGAAGCCCTTGGGGCCCTGGGCCACCAACACACCACTTATCAGTCACAAACACACCCGCCTGCTGCCTGTTCTCTTCCACAAGGGGCCTCTGGAGTTGAAGTATCAGTTCTGCAAGGAGGAAACAGGGAAGCTTCAGTACCAAGTGGCAGTTGTCTAGCCTGCAGGCCGCAAGCTGTCAAAAGGTTCCCTGTGCCAGGAGAAGCCACACAAATGTTTTCTGGTACCTCCAGCTCCGCGAGCCTTCATCTCTGCCTGGCTCACTTTCCCCCTCCATTGGCTGCCATTCCAGCCACAGAGCACCCTCCATGGGCTCCAGGAGGGGCCATGCAGGCAGCCGAGGCTGCTTCCCCTTTCTGGGGCCGTGGGAAGCCACTTGCTTGGCTGCCTCTGACCAAAGCGCTCCAGAGCACAGGGCCGGGAGGGATTAGGATTTCCCTGATTCACGGGCAGGAAGTACAGTTTTGGAAAGAGTCTGGAGGAGTGGGATAGACCAGGAAGGTATCTATAGTATCAGTATACACAGACTGATACGTACAATTATGTACCCACTCTAGGCTTCCCAGCCTTCCTCCCTCCAAACCTGGGAACTTAAAAGGGGTAAGAGGCAGCCAGCCTCAGGGCACCCCCTTTCCCCAGGCCACAGTTGGCACTTACTCCCTACAGGGCGATGGCCAAGGAGCATGCCACAAGGTCACCTGACGACTGCTGGTTATATTGGGCACCAGGCGTCAGGCACCCCCTGGGCCTCGCTTTAAATAGCCCACTGGGAAGAGCGCCTGGGACCTGCTGGAATGTGCCTCCTCCCTCTTAGGAACACGAGGCCCCTCGAGCTCCCAGGGTCCCCACGAAGGCTTCTACTCGAGCCCAAGCTGGAAATGGCAAAATAGCAACTGAAAAACAAAGGGCGTTCCCCTCAGCCTTTGGGGCAGAACGTCAGTGTCCAGTGGCTCCATTCCAGTTCACAGACAGACGCAATCAGTGGGCAGCCCTGGCTGAGACCCTAGGACCGTCACAGCTTGCCAATTCCGCTCACCAGAGGGGCCCTGGGCGCAGGGGCATGACGCCGTCCGCCCACAGCCACACAGACTGCCACCGCAGGACCGGTACTCCCACTGGAGCAGGGCCCGGGGCCCCTGGGTATGACTGCAGCATCCTGACTACATAACACCCAGAGGATGGCCAACTTTAGAGCCGACGCTTCTGATCAGCAAAGCCCACCTTTCCCGTACAGCAGGGCAACCTCGGCTCCACCTGCCTCCTCCCTGCTCTGGAGATCACACCCCTCAGACCAACGGGATCTCCACACCACTTCTCGCTCACAAGTGGAAGCCTTCCTTCCATAAGCCCTCCCCGGGTCTTTCGATGTGGAAGCACAAGTGACAAAGCTCCCCTTGCCCGGCTGGCCTCCGCCTGCTTCCTCTTTCAAGGAGCCTCTGCTGGCTACATTCGGCAATGCAGGTACGGGGCCAAACAGGCTGAAAAAGCCAGACCAAGTGTAGACGGAGAGGAGAAGAGGAGCCCAACTCCTGAGCCCTGTGCAGACTCTCCCCCAGGGCCTTGGCTGGCACTTCTGTTCCCTCCTCCAGGAATGCGGCAGAATATGCTTCTGGAAACAGGGAAGTGGACGCGCAGAGGCTCTAGAATGAGAGGGGGCCACTGTCCTTGCACAAGCCAGCTTCATCGGTCAAGGAAGGGGGGCGCTGTTCAGTGTGACCAGAGAAGAGGGGCCCTGTGCTTGGGAAGGAGTTTGGTGAACCTGAGACAGACATGTGCCATCTGTCCCTTTGGTGACAAATCACATGTGGTTCCCAAAATACAGGTGTGGCCCTGGCCTCGTTGAGTGAGGTGCCTGAATAAAGACAGTGCCCCGGACTCGTGAGTGTGGAATGGAGCTGATGGTGCAGAGCACACCTGCGTCCCTGCACCAGGCCCACCGCGTGGCCGGGGTCCTCAGAAGGCTGCTCTGTGGGCTGACTTAACCCTGCCAGCCACAGAGCAGGCTGCCTGAGACCAGCCTCCGCCAAGAGACAGCATGAGGAAGCAGGGGGAGCCTGGCTGGGGCTGCGTCCTGCTGTGTGGCCTCAGAGGAATCACTCTCCTGGCTGCGCCCCACGTGGAAAGGGAGGCAGGGATGAATGACCAATGGATTCTAGGGTCTCTTGCCTCTTTGTACACCTGAAAACTGGGATCTTGATCTCTTCTGCAGAAACGTGCTGACCCTAGGGTGGGGCAGGAAAGAAGACAGGAGGCTCTAACAGGAGCCTCCCACTTCTGACAGGAAGCCCTCTAATCTTCCATGGACCCATCATCTGCTTGCCACCCCCAACATCGCTTCGAACACAGCTCCTGTCTCCAGCATCCCCCACTTCCTTTACCTCACACACCACAAACGTCCTGGGAATGAAGGACACAGAAAGAACTCCCCAGGTCTCTGATAGTGTACAGGGTGCGGGTGTGACTGTCCCCAAAGGCTTCCTGTGGTGGCTAGATGCCACCCAGAGGGGAAGCCCGCACACTGGGCACCAACGTGTGCCGGGATCTGTGCTTCCTGACACTGCGCTTCCAGGTGTCAATCCTCCAACAGCCTCGGAAGATGGCTATAACATTTTATGTAAAATGAGGAAAAGAAACCGACTCGGAGAGACAAAGTGACGCATCCTGTTCATGAAAGGGGAAAGGAGCAGGCAGCATTCAAACCTAGGACCACCTAATGTTTCACTGGGTGGAGGCGACCTTGAGGAGGAGGAGATACAGGAGGTACATGCCAGCTGCCATCCAGGTCCGGAAGGACTGTGAGGCAGAAGGGAGGTGGAGGCAGAAGCATCCTATGTGACCACAGCCAGGACCAATGAGGTCAGGAGGAGGGCTGCTCCAAGGAGGAACATGGCAGGCTGCCATAGTGCGTGCGACCCCCCGTCTCACCCAGAGGTGCTCAAGCAAAGGCTGCACGCTGGGAGCCAGGTACAGGGTTGGGGGTCCAAGCAGATGACCTTCAAGGCAGTTCTGAGACAGCCATCCTGTGGCGACAGTACCAGGAGTGACCGGCTTCCAGGACTGCAGTCGTCTGGGGAGAACCTGCCTGGCTGACACCCAGGACAAGGCGGCAATAACTGGATCCTGAGGTCTGGCACAAGCCCTTGGCCACCTGTTACCTTCCCTTAGATTAGAGCTGCCTTGGTGAACAAGGTCAGGCTGGGTTGGCACCAGGCTGTCCCTCCCTGGTTCATCCCTGAAGAGGCACAGGGGAGGCAGAACAGCTGATGTACAGCTGGCCCAACTCACAGACTCAGCCTGGATCTTCACCTTCAGTCTATCGGGCACCCTTGGACAAGAAGAGGCTCTCGGTCACGGACCTGAAAGGCTGAGTTGCTACATCTGGGGCAAGGGTCGGGGCACAGGGAACTCTCCTGGTCAGGCCAGAGGAACAGGTCTGAGCCAGCAGAGGAGAGGCTGGTAAACCAGCCATGGGACACTCGATCCCGTCCCGAGAGGCCCCCTTGGGGGAAAAGTACGGGGACACAGCATCTTCTCTGCCTCTTCGGAGAACACCATATGAGTAAAGAAACTGACCTGGTGAGAGAGGTGGAGGGCCCTGGAGGGGCTCAGACCACTGCCCCCAGTTAGTTCTCACCCAGCTGACCCCAGCAAGGAGCCGCCATGTGACCACTCAAGGAAAAACCTCTTCCTTCTGCCCCAAATACTTCTGCCCCAAATATGATGAAAGACAAGAGCACGAGGCTGGAATCCTAAAGCCTGGTCTCCCCACTGGAAACCCAGGGGAGGCACCAAAGTCCTGAAGGACCCAGGGGTCACCAGGGGAGCTGTGCCAGCCCAAGGAGCCCAGCAAAACCAGAAGTTCTGCCCGAGACAAAGGAATAGAACAGTGAAGTCATTCCACCCCAAGGTCAGAAACCTTGGCCAACCGTGGTCGGCTGGCAGACCTCTCCTGTGTCTGGCAGTGCCAAACAGCCCCCAGCGGCAGGGCCTCAGGCTCCCTGCCATCACCAGCCTCCCTCAGCCCTGGTGGAGCCAGCTGGGTGGGGACTGAGGGCCATCGCTGGGCGGAGGGCCCTGATGGCTCCTGATGGCTCCCACCCCCGTCATGAGCCACCAGGGGTAAAAGGGTGAGACCTGACTAACTCGTTCTGTGGGCTGCAGGTGGGTGGGGACTCCCGGCCTGTCTCTGCTCAGTGAGGCCTGGCAGGAGCCCGGCAGGAGCCCGATGCACCATGGCAGCCGCCAGCTTCGTGCAGGAGATGCGCTCCATGGGCGAGAAGCTGCTGCACAAGCTGCAGAAGCTGCCCCAGGCCGAGCCTGTGGAGATTGCGGCCTTCTCCGTCATCCTCCTTTTTACAGGTAAGCCAGGGCCCTCACGTTCTCCCCAGCACCCCTGGTTCTTCCTGGCATCTGGGAAAGGTGAGACCGTGGTACTGGCCAGAGGGCTGGCCGAGGTGGCTGGGTGTCCCCCTGACACAGGAGAGGGCAGATGTTCCTGGGGGAAAGCTGGAGGATTTCCCTAATCCTTGACAAGCTGCTGATGGGGTGGTGCTGGAACCAGGGCCCGGAGGCAGCCCCGAAGCCTACTCAGGGGTGAAGGGAGAGCAGCTCGGGGCAGCGGAGGCGGCAGGCATGACAGGGAGGTCAGCGCCCGGTGGCGGCATGGGGACAGTCGGACACCTCTTGCCGGACTCAAGTATTTCTGACCAAGCCAGATCTTTGGGCAAAGGTCCTTCTGGCACACCTCTGGGGGGTGGGGGTGGGGTTTCTTAGAAGGAGAGCATGTGTTCTTTCTCCCCCCTGCATGAGCTGCCCGTGCTCTCTGCTTCTCTCTCCTAATCCCCCAGCCACCGTGCTGCTGTTGCTGCTGATTGCCTGCTGCTGCTGCTGCAGGGACTGCTGCTGCCCTGAGCGCAGAGGCAGGAAGGTCCAAGTGCGGCCCATGAGCCCCCCGTGAGGGGCAGAGACGAGAAGGAGAAGCTGGAGAGGAGGCTGTCAAAGCCATGATCCCACGTGCTGGCCTGGCCCCAGCCCTGGCCCTGCCCAGGAACCCGACACCTGCAGCCTTATTAAGGAAACAAGGGCTTGGTACGGCTACCAACTCTCACCTGCCAGTGACTACCGGGTGCCGAGGAGGAGTCAGCTGCTTAAAACCCGGGGATTCTTTCCCAACCTGCACTTTCTAACAAAACACACAAGTGGGGGCCCCATACTTGGAGGGAGAACAGCCTGCAGTGGTGGGGAGCCGGCCCAGAGGAGCAGGCCAAACAGAGGGGCTCTGTGCAACAGCTGCTGGACCCCGAGCTTCCCACCAGAGGGGAGCACGTCAGTATTCTATTCTGCTATTTGCCCATTTCTGTCTCAGTAAAAGCTTTCTGGTTATGTGTTTCTGCAGCACCAGACTCGCTGGCCTGGGCTCTGTGCTTCTGAAGGGCAGGGTGCCAGAATTCCAGGGGTGTGGCTGGCGACTGTCCTTGCCAGGCCTCTGTTCTCCCCATGCCCACGAACGCTGGAAAAATACAGGCAGGAACGCCATGCAAGAGGGAACCAGCGGAAGGAGAGGGTGAAACTGCCGTTAGCACCAGCTGCTACCAAGCTCTGGCTCCGGGTGCCCCCTCTACAGTGACGGGGCAGCGTCTGCCCAGGTGCCAGGCTCAGGAACGCCACCCAGAAGCTTCGGTTGCCATTTACTTTAGGCTGCACACCCCACACCGGCAGGCTCAGGCTACCGGGTCTTCCCAAACTTCTGGAGTAACAGAAGAGACATCAGGCCCTTACTGCTTTGCCCATAACCTGCATCTCAGCCCCTCTGTCTTTTTCCCCCCGTTGTGTCCCAGGCTGTCTGGCCCCAAATCCTCACCCTGCCATTCACCAGCTGTGTGAACACTCGACCTCCTGGAGCCGTGTGTTTCCTTCCCTGTGGGATGCGGCTAATCCCGGCATCTGCCCCCTGGGGTGAGCTTGTGAGGATAAACTAAGGTGACCAATAGTGAGTGCTTGGCACGCGCTGGGCATATCCTAGTCATTATCTGCCCCTCTAAACAAGAGTGAAGTGGACCCATTTTAAGCACTGGCCCTGCTGCAATACAATACCACCCTCCCTCCCTCCCTCCAGTTTACTTCCTCTTCCAGAGAACTTCCCAGGTGGAGCTACTAACCCAGGAATGAGGATAGGGAGGCAGAAAGCTCCCGTGGTACCTCCTGCTCCTTCCCCGCTGTCCTCCAGAGCCGCAGAGACATCTGCATTTTTTACATGCCTCCGTCATCTTGCCCTGCCAGCCTGGGCTTTGGCTGCCTAGGGGCACAGCCCTGTCTACCGGAAAACCAGGGAGTGGAGGGAAGGGATGCCAGGCTCTGCCCCTGCCCCTCCCCACATCTCCAGCTGGCAGGCAGGTGGGAGAAACTTGCTGGCTGGTTTCACTTCCTGGTGTCCACTGACTTGTCTGACGGGTTTGGTTTAGGTTGAAGAAGCAGAGAGGAAGTCCTTCCATACGAAAGAAATGAAACTCAAGAACTGGCTGTGTCCTCCACCCCACACCACCCTACAAGAAGGGGATTCAGAATAACAATGATACCAGTGATAATGGTGATGATGAAGGTGGTAGTGATGATTGAGTAGAAACTTACTGATGGCTTCTGCATGCTCAGCCACCACCTAAAGTGTTTTGACGCAGGTGATTTTGTGTAATCACAACCGCCTCAATGCCAGAGATACCATCCTTATCCCCATTTTAGAGATGTGGAAATTGAGCCTTAGCAACAATATGCAACTTGCCTAAGTTCAACCAGCTAAAAATGGCAGAGCCAGCCTCTGGGCCCAGCCCAGCACAGCCCACCCCACTGCAGAGTTGCAGAGCCCTTGCTCGCCACACTCAAGGCCCTGAGGCCACCCAGCTGCAGTACAGATAAGATCCCATTATCCTCCATCAATCAGTCCTAGATCCCACGCCTTAAAGCGTGTTAAAATCATCTCCCCGTGAGTGGGTAGAGCCCAAGAGGTAAGAGCTAGGGTGGGGCCCAACTAGGTCTCCCTCCCAGAAGGAAAACAGGGAAGCTGGGAGGGACCAGATGGGAAACCACTGCCCTTTTCAGTCCAGGCACTGACAGCCGGAAGGCCCGGAGAAGCCCTCGGTTCAGGCGGTATTCTGACAGTGGGGCAGCCCAATTCCCACGTGGCTTTCCCTTAAGCAAGTTTTCATCGGTTCCAAGAATGTCCCATCCTGAGGGTGGCCGGGGCCGTGCTTCTTTGCTAGAAGAGATTCTGGCTGCCAAGAGGTGGGGACGATGGGCCATTTCTTTTGAATTTTCCTCCTCCGAACTGCTGAGTCCAAATAAGATGGCTCGCAAGAGGCAGCAAACTGGCTCCCCACAGGAGTGCTGGGCAGGCTTCTGTCCCACTCAGCTCAACACATCAGAGCGGCAGCCTGGCACACCCCCAGCCCAGGGCCTCTCGGGAAGAGAGGCATGGAGCAGAAGCAGCAATCCTCCCATTGTGGAAAAGGACAGACTGAGGCACAGCCATGGTGGCCGTGGAACGTGAGGCCAGTGGCTGGCTGAGCCCTGGAGAGCATCTGGCTATCACAGGTCTCCATTCCTGCCACCAGCCACCCTGGAACAGTCCTCCCTCGACGTCTGCCAACGCTCATTGCTACCCTGATTTCCAGCCTCTTCCGGCCTCCCCTGCCTCCGGCCTCTACTCCACAGCAGTCTCTCGGTTCCTCCAAAGGTTTACACTCGAGATCTGTGTATTTTACCATCTGGACATTCTGCCTTATCAGAAACCACAGAACCACTGGGGCAAGAATCTCATTAGCAAAAACTGGCAGAGAGCACATAACACTCTTCTCCTAAATCTGTTTTCTCAAGCATTAACATTTGAGAGTGACCTACAATAAAAAATCTTCAGGACATACTTGCTCGTGGGTAACACAAATTCCAGGCCACACAAAATGAAGGACAAATTAATTTTGTTCTTAAAGGTTCCTTACCCTCCTCGGGACCCACTGCCTGACATGAAACATTGTCCCCCGATCCTACCTCTTACATAGTTTTCACATCATAACCTAAACCTCACTCCTTACAGGGTTCCCCTCAGCCCCCAGCTTAGGCAATGCCACATATACTAACAGCGCCCTCCACCTCTTCCTATACCGCACCCTTTGTGATATTCGTTTCTGCAGAATCTGATCAGGGCCAGCAATCAACTGAAAGAGTTGGTTAAAGCAACTTTTGCGTACGTGACACATACATTCCCCACATATCTCACTTTAAATGGAAACACATACGTGCACATTCCGTGGCCAATCTTTTCAATGAAGGGCCAAGGTCTTTTCTCTGAGTGTGAGAGTTCCTAAATTGTCTACCTGCTAACTGTGGTTGCTGTAAAGCAGAACAAGAACTTAGACACCCACAAAGAAGTCGGAGTGTGAAATCCTGGCTTTTTACAAAACGTTTCCAGTTGTCTTGCCACATCTGTTTTGACAGAAATATTGAGTGATTCCAAAGTCATTCCAAAGCAGTCAAATAGGTGCTTCTAGAAACAACGCTCTCCCTCCACTCCCTCTGAGGTACAGCACAGAGCTTCAGAGCACAGACTCTGCAGCTGAGCCCAACAGCTGGGATGAAATCTGAACGTAGTTACTTCTTAGCTGTATGGCCTTGGGGACGTTGCTTAACCTCTGTGCCTGTTCCCCGACTGTAAAACTGGGGTTTTGACTCTTACTGTTGCTCCATTTCTTTATGTAACATTAAGTGCAAGCGTGTAATTCCAGTAACAAGTACAAATGCCACAAACAGGTTTGGGAACAAACTGCTGACTCCTAACAAGCATCCAACTTAACTGATGAAGGAAGTACATGGGTGTGGAGTGACCAGCCTGCTGGCTGGGGGCACTCAGCCGTCAAGGGCACGAGTCAGTAAGTTTTAAGGAGGGAAACTGGAAGCATCAGGTAAGCCCATGATAGGTAAGAAGGACTTTACTGAACTTGCTTGTTGTCTGTCTCCTCCAACACCAGCTGCACATTAGAATCACCAGGCAAGCTGTACACAGCCCAGAGTTCTGACCTGCCCGGACAGAAATAAGTAGGACTAGGCAGGGCCTGGGTACAGGTATTAGAAAAGCTCCCGGACGGGGCGCCTGGGTGGCTCAGTTGGTTAAGGGTCCAACTTCGGCTCAGGTCATGATCTCGCAGTCTGTGGATTCGAGCCCTGCATCAGGCTCTGTGCTGACAGCTCAGAGCCTGGAGCTTGTTTCAATTTCTGTGTCTCCCTCTCTCTCTGCCCCTCCCCCACCATGCTCTCTCTGTCTCAAAAATAAATAAACATTAAAAAAAAAATTTTTTTAAAAGAAAAAGAAAAAGAAAAGCTCCTGGACGATTCTAATGAGCAAAGCTGAGGGGGGCGCCTGGGTGGCTTAGTCGGATAAGCGTCCGACTTTCGCTTAGGTCATGATCTCGCTGTTCGTGGGTTCGAGCCCCACGTCGGGCTCTGTGCTGACTTCCAACTCAGAGCCTGGAGCCTGTTTCAGAGTCTGTGACTCCCTCTCTCTCTGATCCTCCCCTGCTCACACTGTCTCTCTCTCTCTCTCTCTCTCTCCTAGAAATAAATAAAAAAAAAAAAAAAAAAAAAAAAAAAAAAAAAAAAAAAAAAAAAAAAAAAAAAAAAGCTGAGGACCAATGTGCTAGAACGGAAACCTCGGCGGGCAGAGCCTGCCTCCCTTGGTCCACAACCGGCACATGGTACCTCCCGTAGTTCCTGGCCACACCAGGCATTTGAGGCCTATCTTTTAAGGAATAAATGGTGGCTACTAGGTTGCCATTCCCACCTTCTAGCTGCCCTATCACACCAGTGGGTAGAAACCAACGGGGAAGTTAAGCCTCCAGGACCCTGGGGCCTTAATGGTGGGAAACACCCCCACAAAGAAACTCGCTCCAGAAGGCACCAGCCAAAAGCCTGTTAATCATTCACCAGCACCCTAGCACCGCAGGGAGAAGCCTGTGTGCGGCTCCAGCACAGGACTTCCTGGACTCCTGGGCTTCCTGTGCCCTGGTGAGGGCCTCCCAGTCTACAGGTCAGCAGCTGGACAGAGAGGAGAGGCAGAACCCAGCCACAGGTAAGGTGGATGGGTGGCTTGAGGCAAAAGGTCCTGGATCCAGTCTCTTTCCCCACCCTACCCCAAACCTGACTTCTCTCACTGAGGACACCTGAATATACGTACCCTGAGCAACCCCCAAAACGACATCACAAAAGAACGGAACGCAGCTGAAGAGGTAAGTTTGGAAGGCAGAAGGGGAACACAGTTGCTAGGCAACAGGCCCTGGTCCACCTTTGTTCGCTCTGGTGACAGCAATGAGGTCTGGTCAGGGACACTTGGCAATACCAACACCTTTTCCTCCCAACAGTTGCTTGAGTCAGGGCGTGGCTCAGGCCCCCAGAGTGTGGGGCCTGAAGGATTACCTGGTCAGCCCGCTCTTAGGACACAGGAGTGTTAACAGCAGAATCAGGTAGTGACGCCTTCCTTCTTGCCATTTCTCCCTCCAACTGGCTACAGGCTCACAGCCTGCCAGCCTTAGCTGTTTCAAGATTAGCTGGTTCCGTTTCCACCTGCCTCCAAGGGAGTTTGCTGAGGCCTCAGCTGGAGTCAGTCCACCCCTCAACTCCTATGCTGATCTCTCAGAACGCTTCCCAAATGTTTGGTAACCGAGGCAAGGAACACAGGAAGGATCTGTCGTGCTGCATTTTAGATTCCAGTTGAGTAGATCTCAGGGACGGGAAAGCTCTGGTTCACACCGGGGCTGTTCAAAATACAGAGGCAGTCTCTGGGGAAGCCCCTACACTCAAGGCCTCTGTCCCCTCTTTTCTAGGTTCACATGGACAAACTGATGACAAAGAACATGTGGAATGAGGAGTTCTGGCAGAAACCCTGGGACCAGGGAGCCCTGGTAGTGATCTGTTTATTCGTTACCATGATCCTGTTTCTCATTGTGTTTGCCATCATATTTGGTTTTCTCCCTCCATTTGAGAAGATTGACCCGTGTGAAGAGTCGTGACCTGACTTTCTGGGGGCCAAGAAGGGGCCCACCTGTTAGACACTCTCGAAACACCATGTATCTTTTCTTCAAAGCCCTTTCAGAGTCTGCAATTATACATTTTTATTAATGTAATTAATAAATTTGTTAATATTATCTGATCAGTGCCTGTCTTCCCTGCTGGACTCAACACCATAAATGCAGGTGATGGGTCTCTTTCTGCTCACCATTTTGTACGCCCTGTATCCGACATGCCTCACGCAGAGTCCATTTCAAACAGTATTTGTTGGTTGAATGAATGAATGAGCAAACAAATGGGTGAACGGAAGGGTGCTGGGCTGTTGGCTCCCCCAGATCACAGCCCCCAGATGACAGAGCCCAACTCAACTGAGGCCTAAACACAAAGCTATTCTCTCTCAGACAAGGTACAGAGGCCTCTAAGCTGGAAGCTGCTTCAAACCTAATTACTGCTCCTTTCAGCACTAAACGGTACAGAGTGCGGTCACGAAGGAACAGATACACTTCACGGCCACAGTGCAGACAAACTAGGTGCGGGCGAAGCGAGGAAAACCACTGGATGCCCCACCTTGACCCCATTTGTACTGAGTATCTTTTCTGTTGGTCCCAGAGATGCCTGTGTACCCCAGACTCTACAACAGCATTTCTGTAGCAATGTACCTGCCTCTGCCAGAGCCACCACGCTGGCCTGCCCCTTGCCACCAGGTGCCCTCCCTTAGCAAACAGCTGCTTCAGCTTTAACCACAAACCAGGACTATTCTTAGAAAAGAAGCCAGTATGTGGTGGAAAAGGGGCTATACACCATTTATGCAATAAAGAAATGTTCCTTTTTACTCAAAGAGCAATTCCACATTCAGCCACACCAGCATTGGTTATGCCATCCCGGGAGGTGCTGGAATCTGGAACCCTCGCACGTGGCAAACGAGGTAGGAGAGATGAGGCGTGGTGTGGCAGGAGGCGTGCTGATGCCCAGACCCCCCTGAGGCCCTAAGGGGCCCCAGCTCCTGAGTGTGACACAGGAGATATAAAGGCAGAGTCCCCGGGGTGCCTCTCCTGCTGCCTGGTGGGCTACTGCGGCCCAGAGGGATATGGCTGAGCCTCCAACTCACCCCTGGAAAGCACCCAACAGGGTTCTTTCCAGCAGAAGGGACTCTGACAATTAGCAAGGACACGCGGCCCTTTCATTAGGAGTGCTTTCCTCAAGGAGCCCAAGACAACCTAACTTAACAACCCCCTGTACTAGTGCCTGAGGAGGACTCTGGTCGCAATGGCTGTGGGCAAGGGTGCCAACCACCTCTGCTGGGCCCGGCCGTGCCACAGAGGCCCAACAAGAGACTCAGTCCCGGAGCCCCCAACTCTTCGGTGAGTAGGAGGGGGTGGGAATCACAACACGTGGCCCAAGGAAGTACCTCTCTGGTTTCCGGAGGAGAGCCCCAAACATCTGCTAGATATGGGTTCTATGTACCTAATCAGCTCCATGCTTCAAGAATCTAGACTTGTAGAAACCAAGATGAGATACATGTATGAAATGTGCGTGTCGCTAAAACTCAGATACCAGGATTAGTGGTTATCTGTCCACTGTGAGCTTTGGGACCGTGACCTCACTGGGTCTTGGTCTGTTCATTTCTAAGCCTGAAGCAATCACTTCTGCCTCATCTACCTCACAGGATTTTCCAGCAAGGTCTGACCAAAGGGCTGCACACATGCAAAGGGCTCCCAGCTTGTCCAGAAACTGCCTGGGTGTCCCTCGTATCTAAGACCTGTCCTGCCACAACCAGTCTGTCACTGAGCGGCCATCAGGCTCTTTCATTCATCCACCACCAGCACATGCAAATAAAATACAGAAGTGGATTCCAAGTGTGTGGGCTGGCGTTACGATAGAAAAGCTGACTCCTATCCGAGCCTATTATCCTTCCTCAAGATATAAGCTGGGTCACGCGGCTCTGTGTGGGTCCGAGATAAGAGTGAATCCTACTCAGTGGTCCAGTGGCAAATGATGGCCACATGCTAATGGCGCAAAACCGGTCACATGATTCATGATGAGGTCACCCATGGATCAGCCACTCCAGAAGTGGGTGGAGTGGGATGGCTTAACCACCCAAAATAGTGTCTTCACGCTGCCAGTTTCTGGGGCCTTCCTGGGAAGGGTACTGATTTCCAGGTTGCCTGATGGGAAACGCCCCACACAGTCCGTCGCCTTCAGCGGGCAGAGGTGACTTTGTCGCCGAGAGCTGCCCTGCATTAGCTGGTTACCTAGTAGGTGCTGGGGGAGGAAAGAGCTCACTAACACACTGCTCCCCATATGAAACAAGTCACTCACCCCAATTCTTCACAGAAGGCCACCAGGGCATCAAAGGCCAAGATAGCAGCTTTATCAGATGCTTTGTTCCCTCGCTTTTCCTGGAGACAAGAAATGAACACTTAGCAAAAGTCTTATATAACTGAACTACCCTGCAGCCTAAAAAATGATGAGAGTGAAAAATATCAAATCCCAGGAAAAAAGTCACTTATAAAATGATGTCCCCAAACCTGACCATGCATCAGAATCACCTGGATAATTTATTTTTAAACGTTTATTTACTTTTGAGAGAGACAGAGACAGAGCACAAGCGAGGGAGGGTCAGAGAGAGAGGGGGAGACACAGAATCCAAAGCAGGCTCCGGGCTCTGAGCTGTTGGCACAGAGCCCGATATGGGGCTCAAACCCACAAGAACCATGAGATCATGACCTGAGAAGTTGGTCGATTAGCCACCCAGGTGCCCCTCACCTGGATAATTTTAAAAGACTGACCTGGGGGGGTGGGGCACCTGGGTGGCTCAGTTGGTTAAGCCTCTGACTTCGGCTCAGGTCATGATCTCACAGTTCATGGGTTCAAGGCCTGTGTCGGGCTCTGTGCTGACTGCCAGCTCAGAGCCCGGAGCCTATTTGAGATTCTGTATCTCCCTCTCTCTCTGACCCTCCCCTGCTCACACTGTCTCTCTTCTCTCTCTCTCAGAAATAAATAAAACATTTAAAAAAATTAAAAAAAAAAATAAAAGATTGACCTGGGGCCCACACCCAGACTACTGAATTGAACTTTTTGAAACTGGAGCCTTTGGGAGTTTATTTTCAAAAAGCTCCTCAGGTGATTCTCTGCAAAGAACCCAGAGACTGGCATTTGGAAAACACTGTGTAACATGATCCAAAGTTTTTAAAAGATTTTACTTTTAAGTAATCTCTGTACCCAAAGTAGGGCTCAAATTCACAACCCCAAGATCAAGAGTCATAAGCTCTACTGACCTAAGCCGGCCAGGCACCCCAATACAATGCAATTTAATAGGAAATTGAGTGGTAAATACATGCATGAGCGTGCATCCTTAGATTTAAAGGAACACACATATCTCTGTGTGTATGGAAGCCTGAATACTAGTGTTAGAAGTGATCTTTTTTTAACGTTTATTTATTTTTAGAGAGACAGAGCATGAGTAGGGGAGGGGGGAGAGAGAGACAGAATCTGAAGCAGGTTCCAGGCTGAGTTGTCAGCACAGACCCGAGCTCAAAGTCACGAACCGTGAGATCATAACCTGAGCCAAAGTCGGAGCCTTAACAAACTGAGCCACCCAGGCGCCCTGGTAGTGATCTGTTCTGAGTGCTGGAATTATGCATTATTTGCCTTTTTGTACCTATCTGTCAAAGTTTCCTTTCCAAATGTGAAAAATTTTCAAGTAACATAAAAAACCCAGAAAAGTAAAGAAAGTAAAAACAGACATGATATCTGAAATCTACTGACTTTCTGCTTCTGGAAGGTGAACGATCCCCACCTCCCAAATGCACACAAATACAGGTACTTCCTCTCCCATTCTGTCCATCTGTTTCTATCATACTTTCTTCTTAATTTTCCTTCTAGTGAGGAAATGACGGCAACACTGTTCAGAGCTGAACCATTTACATTTTCACATGTCCCATGTCACATATCCTTTCTTGGACAACTTTGTTCCCTGAAATTAATAGCTGTTTTGGTTTTTTGCTTCGATTTTAGTGTATTACTACTTCACCCCAAAATGTTGTGCTATAATGAAAACTTCATGTCAACAGGGTCAAAGATGGTAGGTTCCACTTTTAGTTTTAGAAACGTCCCCCCTGGAGCCCTTTTGTCCCCCCTGCTTTGACCTGAACTGCTGTCCCCAAAACCTGGCGCACAGCTGAGGCTGCCCTGCAGTGTCGTTCTAGGACATTCCTCTTGCCTTGCTGGGGTCAGATCTCTATCTCAACCTCTCCAATTACTGCCTCTGTGGTGGGGGACATCCCTCAGTAGCTTCTCCACAGGAGGGAGCTTCTTTTTTTTTTTTTTTAATGTTTTATTTATTTCTATGAGAGAGAGAGAGAGACAGCGTGAGCAGGGGAGGGTCAGAGAGAGAGAGGGAGTCACAGACTGAAACAGGCTCCAGGCTCTGAGCCGGCAGTCAGCACAGAGCCCGACGCGGGGCTCGAACCCACAACCACGAGATCATGACCTAAGAGAAAGTCGGATGCTTCACCGACTAAGCCACCCAGGCGCCCCTCCACAGGAGGGAGCTTCTTGAAAGCTTCTGTCTGAAAATGTCTTTTTCCCCCCTTAATGTCTAATTATGGTTTAGAAAAAATTGAGCGATTAACTTTTTCTGAAAACATATACTGACTGCGTGCAGACTGCAGTTATTTGGGGACGGGGGGCAGGTGCCGGTAAGTTAAACTATCCTATTTTCTATTCTGAAAATCGTATAAAGCCCCATTTCCCGTCTGATTACAGAGAGGCACGTGTCCAAAAGGGCTGAGAACACACACATACAACAAGAAAGACAGAAGCTGCAAAGCTAAGGGCATGCAACAGGCTCCAAGAGAAAGTCTCAGAAATACCCAAAGTGGCAAAAAGAAACCTGTGGCTGGAACCTGAAGTTCTTTTCAGTGATCTTTGCCTTTTGCTCCGTGTTTAAGGATGCCCACGGACTCGAGGGAATTGAGATGTCCCTTCTGGTCCACAGGCGCTTCTCCATGCAGCTACTCCACTGCCTCGCCTGGAACCCGGCTTCCCATCGTTGTCTGCAGCTCTCAGGTAATCTTCTTGCCTGGTGCCAGTCACTTCTTCGACAAAGCAAGCAAAAGCATTTCTGAGGACATCT